CGGCAGCATCTAACTTTTTGCAGATTTCAGTCTCATTTCTTTTCAGGTTTTTGTAAATGACGAATACTAAATGCTGAAATGCTCTAAAAGTGGCTTGAGGTCACATATCCTGCGCAAGACACTGTAAAATCCAACTTACCTTTATCGGGAGTGAATGTTCTAACTTGATAGTGTTAAGAATTATGTTTTTTAAGGCAGGGATAGAGAAAAGTATGCCCATAACAGTTCCTTGTTTAAAAAACCTTGAATATCCTTATAAAAATTGAAAGTGAGCTCAAAGTATACCCAAGTCCCCCTTCACTGCACCCCTGGTGCCCACGTTCTGCCCCCGTTGTAAGGCGGCAGATTATCCACAGCTGGGTGTTCGTGTTGCACAGAGAACAGAACAGGGTTTAGCTGATTCACATTCTCACAAGACTGTGTGCGAGTCATGTGGATCTCCAGGGGGCCCAAAAAAACAGGGGGTGATGTGAACCACATTCCCCTCAGAGATCCTCCAGGCAAACTCTCCCTCAGAGACAAAGGCTATAAAGGGAATTAGCTTTCCAGGAATGTCTTAACGAGGAGCAAGCCAAATACCTCGGGGATCTGCAGATGTTTTGGCTGTGTTCCCTGCTCCCTCCCTGGATTCACCAGCAGTGGCAATACAGCTGCTGCCGGACTGTCCCAGGTCATGGGGCCCCTTTACAACCCCTCCCATCGCCGGGGAGGCCAGTGGGCCCTGAGCCCTCCAGGGACTCGCAGCTGTCTGTGTCCAGGATTCCACGAGGCATGAGACCCCAGAAGTCTCCCTGCCCCGTGCAACCCGAGCACCTGCTTCCTCGGAAAGAATTTGAAACGATTTAAGGGCAAGCCAGGCCACTAACAGGCTTGGCCGCCTGCTGTAAAGGTAAAATAAAATCCCAGCGCTGGGACTGGTGTGCACACGTGGCCCGGAGAAAGCTATGAGGACCAGCCTGGTGCCAGATGTTTATACCAAGAGAGCTTCCTGTGCAGCCTTTTTCCCGGAGAAAGAGTCAGCGCCATGGTTAACTCTGGCGCAAGCCTGTGCATGCTGGTGCTCCAGTCCTTCAGGGAGAAGCAGCTCTGGTTAATTAAAGGAGGCCCACAGTCCTGTGCGGACAGCTGCCATGAAGGAAGAAAGCACACCAAGGGGGCCTGCACTGCCTCGGTGAGGGAAAGGGGCTCGCCTGCCCTCCAGAATACTCGCGTATATTCTTAGAGGCAGGGGGAATCATTGTTGGTAAGTTCTAATAAACTCAGCTTGGCTTCTAAAGGTCTGAAGCATCCATTTCTTTATTAAAAAGCCAAACCGAGTATTGTACCTTCAGGCAGAACCTGTGACCCCCGAGTGCTTTCTCTGTACTGCCTATGCAACATGTAGATGGTGTGACCTTGGCAGCCGACAACGCCATTTCCATCGACCCGAAGCCTGTGGCTCTGAGATGGGGTGGTTGGCCCCAGTCAGCCTTTAAATAACTGAGGAGGAGCTTCGTTTTACCAAAGACGCTGTCCTAACTCACCTCCATTCTAGCCAGAGGACTCACACTCAAAAAAGCACCCTCGTCATCAGAGGACGGCTGACAGATGTGCATGGCTTTGCCTTAAGTGAAAATAAAATGTCCAAGGCACGATTCCCTGCTTTTTCTTTTCCAACTAACCTCTCAGCTATCAGAACTGGTCACACATACTATGCTGATTCAAGTAGATTTGTACATTTTCATGCAATGAATCTGCTTCTTAAACATTCTTCTTGGTAACAGGGAAACTAAGTCAAGTTATCCAAATAACAAGAAATTTCCATTTGAGTTAATGAGATATATTTCTGTCAAGGAACAATCTTGCTTTCGGAAATCTGGATCAGAAATTTCCAAAGCTTAAAAACAAAACCCATTAAGCCTAGACTGATGGGGGAAGACCAGATTTGACTGCAGCGAATTACCTCTGTTTATAATGGAAGATCCCTTCCATCTGGAATCTCTGGAGAAAGTGCTGGGGGCCACATACAAACCGCATAAATGTTTGTACTTTCACCAAGAAACTTTGCTGCTTGATTGAAATCTTTATTCCCCTTCAGAAAGAGCAGCCAGGACTGGGAAGCTGGTGCTTCCCTCCCATCTGTGCCGTTCTGTGTCCGTGACTCTTGGGGACGGTACCAAGATCTAAGAGCATTTCCTTTCAATATTTTGGCAGTGGAGACAAGCTTGAATCTGTGGTTTAAACGGGTTGTGAATATGCGCTTTGTAGATTAAGAAAATTCAGTTTGTGGTGATGCTTTTGAAAGACTTGCGGACGTTGAAGACTTGATGACTCCAAAGCTTTGTAGACCCGTGAACGAGAGCAGGTAGAAAGAGCGTTTTACCAGAGCGTTGCATTTCGCAGTGATTTTTCTGGGTTCCAATGCCTTTATATGCATTTTCTTGTAGGAACACAGACAACGTAGTCTTTTAAGAAGATACTTTTTAAAATCCCAGTTTACCTTAGGGCCAACCTGTTGGCTTCAGCAAGTCTCCATCTGCTTTGTGACCCTTATATGCTCGTGGAGACCCTCTCCTGGGAAAAAAGAGTTAGCCTTTGTTCGGTCAAAGTCGGCAGGATAGGCTGCAGGTGGAGGGTGCGTGCAGCAGAAATACGGTGGGGGTCTCAGTGGCCAGAGCTCTTTTAGTGAAAAAGTAAGTGACACCATCTGTTAGGACAGAAGCCCAAATTTCAGTGAAGAAAATGCCCCTCCCACTGCTCATGCATGTTGGAGCGGTGAGGTGGAGAGGTCTGGGCGCTGGGGCTCGCTCTGTCCAACGGTGCCTCCGCCACCCCGGGCGTCTGAATTCCCCACCGGATCCTCTGTACTGTGGTGGGAAATGGGTGCAGGAGGCGAGCATGAAGGTCTGGTGGGAGGTTTCAGAGGCCAGGCCTGGAAGTGGCGTGCACGTACCTCTGTCCACACCCCACTGGCCAGAACCCAGGTCCCACCTCACTGCAGGGGGGCTGCAGAACCAAGCAGCGGGCCCAGGGAGCTGGGGGGGAGGAGTGCTCTGATGACACGCACGTTCTGGGCCACAAAGGAAGATGACTGAAGGCTGTGCCGTACCAGAGGGGGGTGAACGATGCTCTGTCTCACATTAGTGTGTGAGACACCAAACACGACCCCAGACGCTTCCGTGCGGCTCTTCCGCTCCCTGTGCAGGGCCAGCGGCCCCAGGACCCTGACCATGGACTGGGGGGTTGGTGTTCTGTCTGGAGTTCCACCTGGTTTGCTCATCCGCCCTGTCCCCGCAGGAACTCGGTCTAAACAGGGGCAAGTTACCAAGTTTACCTTTAAGAGCCCGTGGAAAATCTTTTATGCCTGGAAAGAAACAGTGAGAGTGTACTAATTAATATCTAATTTACTATAAAGTTACACATTTATAAGCCTAGTTTTTATAAGTTTCTAGAATAAATTTGAATTTTATTTTATGATAAAACTAATACTGCCGGTAAAAATGTGAATAATCTCTTTTATTTTGATCAGTGTTGATTTCACGTACAAATTAACAGATTAGGTCGTGTTTAACAGAGACCCTCCCCACCGTGTGAGTTTACGACACCGCCACTCAGGGTCAAAGAGGGACGTGGCAAGTGTCCCCAAAGAGAGACGCTTAGCTCTGGTTCTGCTCTTCGTTAATCCCATTTCCAAGTAAACACTTTACGTGCCCGAGAGGGCGGACTCTGGGTGTGTGTGATTTTTATTAATAAGAATTCTGAGTACAATTAACAAATTTAGACATTTAGGAGAAAAATGATTCTCTAAGGTTTGCTCTAAAGAACAGCTTGTTCTGTACATTTTAATACTCAATTTTAATGTTTGACACCATAATGCTTCTAGGTCTATAACTTAATTTTATGCTTAATTTGAATAATTTGTACTCTGTCCAGTTGCGTCTGGTTAAAGAGACTAGAAATCATTGGGTAGAGACTAAATAAAATGACCTGAATATAAAACTTGACTAAGACGTTTTTAAAAAGTCTTTAAAACAAACAAAACCCCCCCTAAAATTAGAATACTTTCAGCAGAAAAAATGAGCAGCGATGTACAAAATGAACATTTACAGAATAAATTTAGACGAAGTACTTTGTATGGATACCAGTTATGCATATTAATTACTAGATTGGTGAAGCAGAATAAGAGGTGGCTCTTAGCCAATGTGAGCATTTGAAAAATGCCCCCCTAAAATATGTATGTATAAGTCCAATTTCGTATAGCTGAAATTTTAGGGTTTTTATGCAGTGTTCGGAAATGACATGGGGGAGATGTCTTGTGATTCAGAACTCTTGGGTTAGGTTCATGGTAAGGTTCCTTTCATTGGCAAAATATCATATAAATGTGAAGTTATTAAAGAATAAATTATATTTGTGGTTCCAAATAATGAAGAATTAGCAATTGCAGTGTAACGTTTTATCAGTGACTTTTAATAAAGTATATATAGTTTGCTAATGAATATTAAGGTATGTTGTGAGACATGAAAAACTCTTACAGATGGCAACCCTCTAATTCTGCCATTGGCAAAACAGTAAGTCAGAAATATCTGTCCCCAGTCTTTGTTAATAGTTAAGAGCCTCATTAGCTCAATTATTTACCTGCATTAAGAAATAGGAGCCCTGGCTGCTGGTATAGCTCAATCCACTGGTATAGCTCAGTGGATTGAGCATGGGCTTGCAAACCAGAGGACTGCAGTTCGATTCCCAGTCAGGGCACATGTCTGGGTTGCAGGCCAGTTCCCAGCAGGGGACGCATGCGAGGCAACCACACATTGATATTTCTCTTCCTCTCTCCTTCCCTGCCCCTCTAAAGATAAATAAATAGAATCTTTTAAAAAAAGAAATAGGAATAAATTCTAAGAATTCAGTAGTATACAGAGGTATAATAATTTGTGAATGTATATAGAACTTTATCTTTTAAATATACATTTTATACCTGTACTGAAAAAGTAATTTTGCTGTTGTTTTGTGGCTTTTTTCCCCAGATATTTTAAGAAAAATAATACAAAAGAAGTTTGACCTTTCAGCTGATTATGAGAAGGTAATTTTTATTGATGTACTTGTTTTAAAGTAACTGTGAGCAAAATTTGACCGACTGGAAAGTAAATCTTTAACTAACAGGTTATGTAATCTGTGAATTTAGTCATCTTTTTTGACTAAGAACTTCTGTGGAATATTGGAACACCTTATAAATCTCATTTGAACGACAGCAAAAAAATCACAAAAGCAGCGGTTAAAAAAACTTTCATCTTTTAAGTTGTATGATATTTAAAAACTAAAATTTCCTTAAAGGAAGTATTATGCTACTTTTTTAGCTCGGGGAGAAGTAGTCTCTAGGTCAAGTTGACCCTTGAACAATGTGGGTGGGGGTTGGGGCGCCAAGCCCTGTACTGTCCAAAATGCTGGTAGGACTTTTGACTCCCTGACACCAAGAACAGTCCGGAAGCTTTGCTAGAAATAAATGGTAAAGATTTATTCACGGGCCTTAGAGTTTGCAGACTGGAACACAGCTAGGCAAAACCCGGAGGTGCTCCCCCAAAGAAAGAAAGGTTCAGAGCAGCCAGAGTAAAGGCACGTTCTTGAGACTGCGCAGTCCAGCCTTCGTCACCTCTGGACTGGTCTGAGGTGGCGACCGTGATCTGGTGGTTTGGGTCCATGAACAGTCTCTCCTTAGCCCTTTGTGGGTAATCAGAGGTTTGATGCATACCCAGGCATTGACACAGGACTTGGAAGTTCGAAAGTTTACGTTCCCAAGCTGCCTAAAACAAGAATAGAATCATTTACTCATACTCGAACCTACTTGATTTTAGTAATTTAGCAGCTTGACTATTTATTTATAGCTTCATTCTAATCCCCACAGCCTACTGTGGGCCTTACCAGTAATAAACAGTTGATTAACACATATTGTGTATGTTCTATGTAATATATACTGTATTCTTCTAATAGAGGAAACTAGAAAAATGTTATTAAGAAAGTGACAAGAAAAGTACATTTACATTACAGTATGTATTTATTAAAAGTAGCTGGGTGAGTGTATCTGTGCAGTTCAAACCATGTTTAAGGGTTAATTGTAGAATTGTTTGAACATCCCTAGAAAAGGGGGTGCATATTTTTTTAAAATATGGTTTATCAACAAGTAGCTTCCCATTTGAACACTGTGCTTTGAGCACTGTGTGCATACACGTACCCGGGACTGGAGGGGGATGAAGACAAGGAAGGCAGCCTGGGTCCCAACAGGCTATGAGCCAGATGGCCAAGACAGTGTCTAATTATTTAAAGAAGAAGGAGCAGAAGGAAAAAGTGGATTTGTCAGTAACATACAGAGGAACATAGAGAAAAAAATAATTTGTCATGACCAGAAGTTCTCCTGCGGGGAGGTGACTTTGGGGCTTGAGCTGAAAAGGGTGAGCAGGGCTGAGTAGGTGGGGAGGTGGCCTTGACGGCATTCCAGGCTTTAGGGAGCATGTGAGCCTGGAGGACAAGGTGCGAAAGAAGGAAGTTCAAGCGCAGAGCCAGTGGGTGAGGAGGGCGAGGAAGGGGAGGTGAACCGGGGCCAGGTCACTGAGGGTCTTCAACACCGCGCTGTGATCGGTGGACAGTGTTTTCAGAAAATAGCAAAGTACCTTGCATGTCTCTACTTAATGCCAAGGTATTACTTAGTCATTCCTTTGTCATTTATGACTAACTACCTAAACAGAAGAATGTGTTCTTTTGATTTTGGTTTATGTTAAGTGTAGATTGCCAACAAAACAAACCGACAAATGTCTGTTGCTTTGGATGTTATGAAAATAAAAAATAGTAGAATCTGTGTGGCAGGTTCTCAGTCCCGGGCTGGCTTCTGGTTGGACGTTTCCCTGGTTGGCGTCGTGTGAGAGCTGGAGGTCCTGCAAAATTGCTGCTCTTCGGTGTTTGGTTTTTCTTCCCATACCAGGTGCCTGTGCAAACTGGTAAAAACCATCGGTGTGGGTGCAGAGTGCAGAGAGGAGACAGGACTGAGCCTGCGTGAATGGACTGAATTCTACCCTAGGTGTGGACTGGGTCACAGTTTCCGCAGTTATTCCAGGAAGAGAGATTTAGTTACGCCAAGACACCAAAAGAGCCGGTGCACTTTGGGAGGGTTTCAGTCCGATAAATGCTGGGTGTGTTAGGTTAGGTTTCCCCAGGACAGGCCCCGAGGCCCAGACTCCAGGGCAAGTCAGTTTTTTGGCAGGTGCAAGGGCAGGTGATGGGAAGTGGGAAGTGATATGGGGAGGGGAGGAAGGGCAGCCTGTAAGGGTGGTCCCATAATACCCCCCACCACAGGTGCAGCTAGAATTGCCACCTGCGTCCTAATCCGCCCATGGGAAGGGTGAGGGAGCTGAAGTGTCTGAACCCCAGGACTTCGGGGACACTGGTTAAGGGCTGCTTAGCAGTGGGTGACAGTGTTAGTCCCTAGGCAGGTCTGACCTATGGTTCTAGAAAACGCCTTTGAGCACAGAGTTTTAAGTGCCGAAAGTTAGAAGTTTGAAAAGACATACCAGGATGGTGAAGGTCTAAGGGACATGGGTGGGCACCAGTGGCATCTTCTATACTGTCCCATGCCCACTGGCTTGCTAATTTCTGCAGTCACACAGGTGAGACCTGTCTAGGTGAGTGGGGCTGGGGAGTCTTTTTAGCGCTCATGGCCCGGAGCTCAGTGTGTCATCTTCTGGTGAGCCTCCGCCGGCCAAGGGGCCTGGGCAGCTGAGTCGGTGACCTTCCAGTCGGGGCCCTGTCAGGGACCTTCCTCCCTCAGGGGTTAGGGGCACTCAGCAGTGCAGACCCTTTGTCCCAGGGAAATAGCTCCCTGTCACAGCACTGCCTCCTTACCAGACTTCAGCTGAAAATTAGAAGTAGTACATACGACCCTTGAGCTCCTTCTCCTCTGTGACATTATAAACATGTTTTCTCTCTTGTTTAGTGTATTTATTTAATTGACATTTAGAGTAACTCACTAGGAGCAATGCCAGGGAAGGGGACAGACCTTTATCCCAAGAACTCACAGCTGGGGAAGGGGAGGCTGTGGGACAAGATACCTGTGTGGATGGTAAGAAAGTGATTACACAGGCAACTGACTTACCCATTCAGCGTTTGGGGCGTTTGGCACGCCCAGTGTGTGCCATGCCCTGTGCTCCAGAGCCAGTATCTCAGAGCTCCCGAATCCGTTCCCGGGGGGGATCGGAGAGTGTGGGTGAGCCCCTCCCAGCTTTCACCACGTGCTGACTGACCATAAACAAAGGTGGAAAACAGCACCACCCGCCTCACATGCTCACGCAGGGTTTCTGCAAAGAGAGCATCTCAGCCTGGCTTGTTCAATGAGGGCTGCTCGATTAATAACAGAACCTGTTTCCTATACTCAGAGAATGCATAGGTGGAGGAAATGTAGGTAGCTGACTTACTATCGCTTTCCACCAATAACCCATCAGTGCTTCCCACATGTCCCGAAACCTTTCCAGAAGGCAGTTCTCCCAGCAGCGCCCGCCACCTGCCACCTTTCCTGTCCTGCGCACCACTGTCCGCAGGAATGGCGAGTTTCCTCGCGATGACTTCCTGAATTAGGTTCCAGGTGGCTGTGGTTCATCTCCCTCCAGACTCTTGGTTTGTGTCTTCTTCATTCACTTCCTTCCTCAGTCGCTACCTTCCCCTTCCTTAAAGCTTCCTGTGGGGGCAGGTGCAGGGCTTGGGACCTGTCCCCGCAGCTTCTCACTTGTTTGGGAAAGGTGACTTAGTTCCCCGTTTCCTGTCCTGAGAGCACGTGATGACCTGCTGCCTGTGAGAACCGCTCTCCTGTCGAGCCTCTTCCAGGGGTCTCAGAGGGCACGTGGATGGAAAGCAGTGTAAGCCCCTGACCAGGGTCACCATCTGGGGCTTCCTGGAGCTCAGGGACGAGAATAACGCTGACAGGCATCGATTGTTACTTTTTCTTATTGGTTGAGCCTTCCGCTGACGGGCTCTGGTCTAAGCCCTTCAGTGTGTTAACCCACTCAGTGTACATGAGACAGTCCATGTAAAGCACTTAGAACAGAATAATGCACAACACAGGTTGCTTGTCACTGCTTCCCAGGTTGTCTCTGCAGTGACTATAAAACAGGGCCTCTGCTCATCCCCCTTCCGTCGCTAAGGTAACCAAGGCTCCAAGTAGCATGGTACCAAAGCCTCCACCTGACCCCAGAGATCCTGATGTAGTTGGTCAGGGTTGATTGCTTATTGATATTTTTCACAAGGCCCCTGGGTGGTGGTAATAGCGATTAACTACAGCATCTACACTCAGTGGTGGAGCCACAATGCAAACTGCTACTTTGCACGGATAATAACCTCAGACCTGTGGGACAGATGGCACAGTCACGGAGAAGGCAGATGTACCCCCAGCTCCGGGGAGGGGCGCTGGTTCCCTCTCCAGCACATCAGACCAGGCTGACGGGGGCAGTGAAGAAACACAAGGAATCGGCTGACTGGTGGGGGTCGCAGGCGGCTCTGCCCTGCTGGGGCCCAGCATGGTCAGCCCTGGGAGCCGAGAGCAGGTTTCCCAGACTCACCTGCTTGTAGCCTCGACACAGGGCCACTTTAAAAACAGATTACCGCTCTTACCCTCTCACCGGAATCTCCCAACACCTACTTTGGGGGAGGAGCCTGAGGTTGGTGTTTTCCACGTGCACTGGGGGGCGCTCATGGGAGTGAGTTTGTTTGGGAGGTACCAAGCCTGTTCCACGCACAGGAGAGGGTGGGGTCATCCAACCTGCCTCGGCCCTGGGGGCAGAGGCATCTGAACTGCGTGCGCTAAGATTTTGGATACCTCACTCAAAAGTTATCAACATCACAAACACTTCTCTTTCCCATCTGTGAAAATCTGTCATCTAAAACAATAGCTTCCAAACTTAGATTTCTTGGACCAGACCATTTCAAAAAAGCAATCTGGGGAACGACACAGAGCCACCTAATTTTATTTTGCTGCCTAAGGACACTTATTAAGTCCACCGTGATGACTTTGTTCCCCTTCATACATGTTTCATCTCCCTCCCCCCAAAAAGATAGTCTTATGAATTGGGCAGATTTTTCTTCTTTGCAGAGGGCTGGTCCGTCCTCGTCACTGACTTACAGGCCAGTCCCAGTCTCTGGGCCCCTGTTCAGGAATCGCTGGTCTAAGGCAGCAGCTCCTACTCCCTCAGCTCACCCGTTCATCCGATTCTGATGGATGGGCGCCGGCTGGATGCCAGGTTCCGGGCTGGGTGCTGGGGGAGAAGGGTGAGCGTGACTGTCAGGTTCTCGGTTGCCCAGGGCACGCAGTACAGCCAGTCATCGTATGTGGGGTCAGTGCCGTGAAAGGGGGAGTACAGGAGTCCAGGGCAGCTCGAAGGGGGTTGTAAAGCAAACCCAGGCCATCAAGACGAGCTTCCTGGAGGAAAGGACGTCCAGCTAAGGAGGGTGAGTTTCATCAGGGGAAGCGTAATGGGAACAGTGCTCTGGACAAAGAGGGAACATGAGGGAGCCCAGAGCGAGGGTGGGGAGACAGCATATGCTTTTGAGAGATGGCAATGGTCAGGAAGAACAGGGACATGAAGGTGAGATTAAATAACATGGGGCCACGTTGAGCCTGAATTAAACATCGTGGAGAACCACGGAACGCTGTTAAACAAGGCAATGGCACCATCGGCTTTCCACTTCAGAAAGGACCTTTGGCAGGCGCTGCACCTTTGGCCCTGGGGTTCCAGGAAGCGGCTGCTTCTCTATTTCGGGAAGACCACGTGGTAGCACTGTGTGTAGCACTTGTCCCCTTCCTTCTCGTTCCTCTGTCCATGACTGGTTAACCTGCTGATTAAAAACCTCTCTCAAGAAATCCAAACGTGACTTCAAATGTAAGTTCCAGAACTCGATTCTACTCAAAACACTCTTCCTCTAGGAAACACGCAAGTTTTATATTTCTGCCTGGAGTTGTGCTTCCTCCCACTCGGCGCCCTCCGTGGCGGATCACTCACCTAACTGTCTCTGTTTTCTCGGTGCATGCTCTCTCTGCCACACGCCGACTCCTCACCGCGCTGACTTCCGCAGCCAGAAAGTGTGGTCTTGACCCTGAAGGTAAACTCCTTGTCTCCTCCTTCACGCTGCTCTGTCTAAAGCCCGTGAGTCATGTAAATGTGATGCTGTTGCCAGAACTTTCTACCCTTCCCTGTCGTGTCTGCTGTGATGGCTTTTAAATTATTTGTGTCACTTTTTTTCTGCTGTCGTCTTTAGTCGTCTTTCGGTTGTAGCAGCTCGAGGAAGAAAAGTGACCTGTCCCAGCAAATCTTTGATCTTCCCTTCGCAATCCACAAAGCCTTCAGGAGGCCTCAGAGTTTCAGAAGGTCTTTGAGGTGTTGGTCAGATGTTGGCCAGACTCCAGCCTAGAAGTCAACTCCTGAAATGACATTTCTTGTCCATATGCGGTCTGATGTCATATTTAGTCGGTAACATTGGAAAGCTTGTATGTCAAATATAAAATCTGTGTTTGGAGCTAAAGAGAATAGATTTAAAACATTTCAAGCCCTGGCTGGTGTAGCTCAGTGAATTGAGCTTGGGCTTGCAAACCAAAGGGTCGCAGTTCGATTCCCAGTCAGGGCACGTGCCTGGGTTGCAGGCCATTTCCCAGCAGGGGATGCATGAGAGGCAACCACACATTGATGTTTCTCTCCCTCTCTCCTTCCCTTCCCCTCTAAAGATAAATAAAAATTAACAAATAAATAAAATAAAACATTTCAATGCACTTTCCCTCTTGGGTTTGGGTTCATCTTTTCTTGAGATTCAGGAAGAATTTGAAATGCATTGAAAAACAGTAAATAACTTAGACTATTTGCTGAGAAGAGATAGCAAAATGTCTATAAGAGTTTGGCATGTCTAAAGTTGGTTTCTGAATCAGTAACGCCATGAAACCCCAAGGAAGGGTTAGAAGCTCCAGCAAACCCTGGCCCCTTGTGACCACGGGCAGGCGGACCTTCGTGTAGGCAGGAGCACGTACTCAGTGGGGTTGCAGCAAAATTTAACCCATTTTTCTTCTTAGCATCTTAACCTTTATATCTAGATAAATAATAATATTCACCTGCCATACGCCCCTGACTTAGTATGTGAGCATGTGCCCACAGAGGTTAGTAACCACTGTGGGTTGAATATTTGCTGTGCACCCGGCACTTGGCTGGTTGTTTTCACGTTGAGTCATTCCATGGCAGGTCCCTTGCCATGTGCTCATGAGGTAACATTTTCCATTTTAGGGAACTGGAAGCCCCCTGCTGGGATTTAAAGCGGGTCCTCAGTCTTCTCTCCTAAAACATCACCTTTGCTCCTAGGACCAGCACTTGTGTTTGGTTTTGTTTTATTAGCTCAGCTTGGCTTCAGAATCTGTTGCTAACTAGCTGGTCCGTTAGTTGCAAACTGCCGACCTGTAATGTTCTGCCATTCTTTAAAAGTGTTAAAAGTGTCTCGCTTGATGGAAACGTGAGTAACTGCATATGAATTGGAACGAGGTCAAGTTTCATCATCCAGTTGCATGAATTTTTATTTATGCCAGAATAAAGTCAGGAGTGATTAGGAAAACATGTTTCAGTCACATGATTATATCTGGAAATCATGCCGGTTGCTAGGAGTCTGGGGTGTTAAGAACTGTCGGAGACATGGGCAGCCGAGCCAGCCTCGCCGGCACCGCATGAGAGCTGCCACTTATTAAATGTCTCCCCAGTGCCCGGTGCTTTACTTGGCACATTATTACTAGTCATACATTATCTGCAAAGTTCGCTACGATTTTACAAGGTATGCATTATTATTCCTAGCGGGTGGGTGGGGAAACTGAGTGGCCGTGTCTGACTCAGAAAGTCTGAGCCTTTTGTCTAAATGTTGATATATTCCCGCTTCTTTTGTAACGGACTATGAACTTGTCATTTATTGATCCCGTCCAAACTGCTTCGAATCCTCAGTAACTTCTCCCGGTTCTGCTTTTCTGGTGAAAGCACCCTCAATGCAGAGACTTCATCAGACAGGGACGTCTGCCAATGTCGGTTACACCGTTTGAAAATCACCAGAATACGTCTGGGGTTGAAACGAAACCCTTTGCAACTTGACCCTGCATTTGGACATTTTTCTCAGGCGCTGCAAGAACACAGGAAACACGTGGGCCCGTGTTCTCATCACTCAGATCTCCGCCTCCTCTGTTCCGAGGGGCTTCGCAATGGAAATCGACACACGCCCCCGTGTGCCTACGTGTGTGTGAACACGCGGGGTGGCAGACAGACTAAAGAAAGCGAACCACGCTGTGGGACGGGCCACTTGTTTTGAGTCACAGTACATGCCGTTTCTTTTGCTCGACTTGCAGGTGGTCCACTACGAGATCGGGATTATTATCTGCGCCGCCCTGGGGCTGCTGTTTGTCATCCTGATGCCTGTGGTGGGCTTGTGCTTCGGTGTGTGCCGATGCTGTAACAAGTGCGGCGGAGAGATGCACCAGCGACAGAAGAGGAACGGGGCCTCCCTGAGGAAGTGCTACGCGGGCTCCCTCTTGGTGACGTGTGTATTCATAAGGCAAGTAGAATCTCGGACAGCACAGCTGGCCAGGGTTTTGGTGGAGGCATGTCTCATGTGAAGCCCATGAGTTTCAAACAAAGCCACAAAAACACCCCCCCCCCCCAAAACACAACAACACAAAAGAAACCAAAAAATGCTTGTCTGGGATGACTTAAAAAGGTGTCACTGTAACCACAAGTTAGCACTGTAGTCACGCTGCCTAACCCCCGTGCTAAGCCAGCGCTTTGGCGCGCTTCCGGCTTGAAGGCATGCTGATGACCCTGAGACTGCAGGAGGCGCTCACCTGGACAGAGGCCCCCTCCCCCGCACAGCTGCTGCAGGCAGGCAGCCTGCAGGGAGGCGGAGCCGGGACCTGCTGGACGGCTTGTACCTCCAAAGGGATCTGCAGGCATGGCTACGGTCCCTGAGTGTGGGAACTGGAGGAAACTGGAGTGGAAGCAACCTTCCAATAACATACCTCGTTTCTTACATTCACAATCAGGCTGCTGCCCACCCTCCAAGTCGGGACACACCTTGCAGTTCAGGGTGTTTCTTCCTGTGGTCCTGCCTGCCAGAGTTTTCCAACCGACCAGCAGGTCCGAAGTGCACTGCTTTTCTTTTAGGATGACGACATTTTTGTTTGTTAAGAGTCCAGACCAGATTCCTCGGCTGAGGAATGTGCTCAGTGACACCGGCCCCTGGTGGTGATCGGTGGTCGCCTTCCTCCACATCTCCTCCCTCGTTCAACCCAAGTGTCATTTCACCCACGGGAATAAAGCACCTGTGACCTGAATGACGCCAGGGCTCCTGGAGACTCAGAGGCAGTGAGGAGTGGCCGTCAGCATCCTCCCAGCCACGTCTCTGAGTATTGCATTTGCCCAGTAGCCGCGATTAAGATTTTTCAGGTTGTGCTAAACAATTGGTATTTGGGAATGTGGGCAGAAAACAGAATTAAACAGCAATTAAACAAAATTAGACAGAACCATTTAAGCGGCCCTGCCAGTTGAAGTTGTAGGTGCATATTCAAGAAGAAATGTTCTTGGAGCATGGCCATCGGAGGGTAAGATGTGCTCTTTGGGGTGTCCGGTTATTGAAATGCAATACGCCCTTCGGGAGAGACTGGCAGCTGGCCACACGCCGATACAAAATAGTCCCCAAGTGAGGTAAAGTGGAAAACGCAGGTTGCAGACCGTGTGTAGAACATGGCAGCTGGGATAGCAACAAAAAAAGGAGGGAAGCACAAACCCTGGTTATATTTGCACTGAGTCTGTGAGTGGATTGCCTGGCCACAGCGGTGGCCTGTGGGGAGGACACTGGCCACTGTGGAGGGGGACGAAGGAAACTCACTTTTCACTGCAGATGGACTTTGGGTCTCCTTCACTAGCCACTATGTTAGTTACACGAAGTGTTAAACTTGAACAACCAAAACAGCCCCACAGAAAGCAAACGCCAACGCTCGGACACTTGTTCCACAGCCGTGATATTTTTTTATGAGACATAATTTTACTGCAAATTGTGACCTAACAGACTTGAGCAATGTACTTGTAAACAACATCCAGGTGAATGTGTTAGCTGCTTTCATGCACCCATTGCGACCACCAGGGTTCTTCTGTGTTCTTGGCAAGATGAGGGTCGGGGGCACCTCTCACTCTCTGTCTCCCTGCTTGTCTCTGTCTCTCTCTGCAAATAATTTGAATGTTTATTCCCATTTAATTCTAAGAAACAAGTTAGGATTGAGACTGTCTTAATTCCAGGTGTTCCTGTCTTTCTGCTTTGCATCTGAAATATTTTTAGGAGTGCACACACCCAGCCGCTCTTACCTCCTCCCCGGCTACCAGAAAAAGGTCAGTTGTGGCCCACGGACCTGCCAGCCCTGGGGACATCCTCTATGATTGAAACGTACCCCCTTTATTCCTGCAGAGACTTGGGCAGTGGGGCTTCTCCTCTTAGTGTGCTGTGGACACACCCTGGACAGTCAAGATGAGGCTCAGTGGAGAAAGTATCATTTGAAAATATTTGCCCTTAGGGCTTCTTGCTAGTGTGATCTCCAGTGAACAATTTAATAGTTTTCACTTGATAAAATACATATGATGTAATTTCAGGAATATGCTTCATAGCATGCAGTTACTTATTTACCCAAATAAATGATTTTGTTTTGTTTTTGTTAGGGTGAGGGTGAGGGCTGAGTGTAGATCAGTGCTAGCCTAGTGCTGAGGTTGAGTTCAGGGTTACGGGTTAGGGTGAGGTCTATGGTTCAGATAAACATTTACATATAAACATTTACATATAAAATGTTTTTCAAATAAACATTTACATATGTAATAATGAGCTCTCAATCCTTTTGAATGAAGAATTTAACCTGTTTGGGGTTTCAACTTTTAAATTGGACTTTATTTGCATTACATATATATGTGTGTTATAGTTCACCCTGAATTGATTGAATTACTTATGTTCTATTTAAATGCCAAAATATATAGACAATAGGCCACAAAGTCAGAAATAAATTTGACTGTCATTTACATATAAAACAAATGCTATAATTTGTTTTTTTAGAGAACTCAGACCCATGAAACAAATTCAGTTAAGTTTTTCTCCTGAGTATATTTTAGTTCAGAAAATTCTTTTAAAAAATAGATTCTGTGATTCTAGAGCCTCCTATACATTCCGTTAAGATCTCCCCCCATCCAAGTAAAACTTATTAGCTTGAAAATCATAATTTTAAATCCCACTATAATTAAACCAAAGTTGATCAATTATTTGAGGCTAAGTGACATATTTAAAACTAGTTTGTGCCATATAGTGCATTAAATTGATATATGAACCATAAATAGGTCTAAAGAGACACTTTGAGGTTGTTTGATTTAATTTAAATGCAGACTAGAAGTTTGATCTCCTTTGCCCTGAGTTTTTAAATTTAGAACAGCTATTTTGACGTCTTCCTTTTAAAACCCCTATCAGTTGGCAAATCTCTTCGACATCACCAGCCGACGATAACAGCTCTGTAGCACTTATGAGGGATCGAAGTTAGCCCTGAAGAGTAAAGACCAGGAGGACATGAAGCTTTCTGTGCTGTGAGCAGATAGAACTTGAAAGAAAGCTCCTCCACAGCCTCAGAGGTCAGATAAGAGGGACGGGCGTGCGAACAGAGGCAGAGAAGCAGCCTGTCTGGCTCCAGTGACCTCAGCAGAGATTGGATACTATTGGTGCATCATCTTCTTAAATAATTTTTTTTTTAATTCAGAAACCGGTCAGACTCAGTCCTACTTTGTGTCTCTCTAGGACATGTTACAGTTCAAAACGAAGTTAATTTTCAAATTAGTCCTGAGTACTCCAATCTTTCATCCACCCCTTTTTTTTTAAATCTAAAATTGTTTAGCTCGTACTTGTTTTCTGATGGAGAAAGGTGTAGGTGTGAAGGAGAAAGATCCTGCGGTAGATGCAGAATGTACTTGGCCGTGTTCGCTCCGGGTCCAAGCCTCTCGGAGGCAGCTGCGCCGCGTATCAGAATCCCACGGAGGCTGACCTGGGCATCTGTGGCCGTCCGACCACCCAGGGAAGATCGAGTTTCCACCTCTGCCCGCAGACTGCGGAGCAGATGCGTGTCACTCCAGAAGAAGCTGCGAGTTTCCTCTTCTTTCTTTCCTTTGTGCTTGTTATTACCGCAGTTCCCAGAATTTCAAAAAAGGCTGCAAACAATGCCAAGGAACAGCCAGGCCTTTATTTCTCCAGCATATTTTTAAGTTTCTGAGTATAGTCCAGCAGCTTTTGCCAGTTTACCCTGGTGAAAACGGAACCCCAGTCGTTTTCAGGAAGATGGCGATTTTTCAAAGTTCATTTTTCATAGGGGTGTGATTGTCAGTTCCTGGCTCAGAGGCCGCAGGTTCCAGAAGAGGAACTGAGCTAGCCTGCCTGAAAATCATGAGACTAATGGGAATAAGAACGTTAGTTATTTAAAATTAAATGAAAAATTATCTGTAAAAAATAAGAGATCAGGTATAGACGGAAAGCATTTATTTAGCTTTCATCGGCTAATTATGTTAAGCCAGTAGAAATGGTAGGAAAAAATTGCTACCTACACATTTTAAAGGGTTAGCCTTATTCTTTAAAAGCTTTAGGTATTTGCTTTTAAGGGTATCTGTGAGAAAATGGGTCTATTCATAATAAAATACAGAGAATGTAGTGCTAATGTACCATAAAAAGTAAAATTCCTATCTTCTACTAAAATGTTTGAGATTTTGTTGTACTGCATAAAAAGTGCCTCTTTTGATATCTTTTGTGTTTAAATAGAAGTTTCAAATTAGAGATTGCAAATGGAGCCCAGCTGGTTCTCTTGGTATTTAAAGTTTCTTTTCTCTTTGACTCCTTGCTAATATTTAAAAATGGGAGATTTTACATAAGAACACAGATTTCCAGGTTTTTGTGAAGATCTGGCCACAGGGGTCTCCCAAGGTGAGGGCACCTGCCAGGACTGCTGAGCAGGCGCCCCACCCCCCACGGTTGACCTCCTGCTCCCAGAGGTCTGTGCCCGGCTCTTTGCCCTTCCTATTTCCTGCCTGCCCAGGTAGGCAGTTGAATTTTTCATGCCTAACTTAAATGTAAAATTTGTGCTGTGGCATGGGTCTGAAAATCAGCTTCGACTGTTGCTATATTCTATTCCAGAATTTTGTTTAGTACAGGTTGTTTTTTTTTTAAATGATCAATACTTTCATTTCCGTTGAATCCATACTTGACCAGCAGAAGCGTGGGTCTTTTTAAATATGTTGCATTGAAATTCAGTGTCACATTGCAGTTTATTTTACTGATTAAGGATCTTGAGAGTAAAGTCATTTATTTAATAAAAGAACAAAGACTGTTTCTGAGTTGGACACTCCACAAATGTGGCTAATGTTCTAAATGGACCAAATGAAATGAAGTCCAGTCTTTAAGACCACGGTCCCCGAGTACCCACCACACACAGGGATCATGCATTATGCAAACTTGATGAAGAAGCAGTTCTCACCTCTTCTTAGAGAAATTCACCACGGATCAAAAGTAAAGACAAAATAGGGTGTAAAGTAAGAAATAGCCGGCCCGAATTTCAGGAGAGCCCCCTCTGGGAGGAGAGCGAAGGAGGCTCCAGCTGGGGTGCCCTTGAAGGTTAAGGGGAGTTGGTCTTGCTGCTTGTTTCCCAAGTTCGCTTTGACTTCGTATATGACACAGTGTGTCTGGAACATGATGAAGGACAAATCATTCGGACATGCTGGGGAGAGACAGCAAGGGCCCCACCATGACTCCTTGTCATGGGCAGGTGTATGCAGGTGGCGGTCCTGACTCACAGGTGTTTGAAATTGGCACGGTCAATGACACTTCAAGTACACTGCCATGACTCAACTTCTTTCTTCTTCGGTCCACCCTGCTCCAAAGTCATTATTTTGGGTCATTTGGCTCTCTTTGGCTTAACTGTGTATTACTTAATAACTTAAGTAATGACTTAAAAACTGTTGTTGCCATGGGGTGAAGTCTGCCTCCTGAATACCAGTGCAGACTTCAGACGGACAAAAGTGGCTTCTAAGGTGGTCATTCTGAATGGCCCAGAATGCGGTGAATATTCGCTTTCTAAAAAGATGACCATTGACATGGACCCAGACATAACAAAAGTCTTGGAGAACGTGTGGACATCCAGCAGACGTCTCCTTTGCAGCTGGGGAAGCACTTCTCCTGGGCAGTGTTCAGTGTGGTGAGTCCGGCTGTTGCTCCCAGAAGACACACGACTTCCTCAGGCTCACAAAGTGTGAGTTAGGGGCGGCAGTGCCCTAGTACACGTGAAACACAAGAAATGGTGTTCTATAGTGTGTGTGACAGACTCGTCTGGATCAGTGGGAAACCTAACGCTCCCGTGTAACACTGCAATGGGGCGATGTTTTAAGTCAGAACAGTGATGAGTTAGTGCTCCTTGGAATGAATGATGACTGGAAATGGGTGAATGGCTGTCCCCATTTACCTGAGACGGAGAGGTTCCCTGGGAACATGAGCCCTTTGCTGCCGAAGCAGGCACTCGGCTACCCCACCTGTAAATAGATGAATGTGGAAAGCCCAGGATGTTGCTTTCGGTGTAGCAGCAAGGTACGGTACTCTGCATCACAATTTCCCCCCAAGGTTTGTTTATTATTTGCAAACCTTCATTCTATCAAAGTTTTTGTTTTCACTTTGTCCTGTCCTGCTCTATCTTGAAAGGTTACAAACAGATGCTTTTATTATTGACTTCTGTAAGTAAAATAGTTTGTTATGAATTTATACAATTCCTTACTGCCACCTAGTGGCTAAATCCAACAAGCCTTGGTAACCAGCAATTTTAAATATTAACATTTTATTTGTTCTCAGGCTTTGACATAAACACAAACTGATGGGTCAAATTAATTAAGTCAGGAGATTGTTAGTAACTAGTCAATATTAAAAGTCCTCCAGAACAGTTAAGTGTAGACATTTTTTTTGCTTGGAAAATGTTTTTTATTTTTACATGAAGGAGCCTTTCCTACAGTGGTTTTGAAAAATGTCCCTGTCGTACATAGATGTTCATGAGTTTTGAACATACTAGTTACACTGTGACCTGCCCTTCCCCCAATGCAACCACTGACTTCCGGTAGGATTATTTTGCATGATTTTGTGCTTTATATCAAGTACAATGGCATAGTATGTACATTATTGTTTGTAGCTTTTCATACAACATTTTCATTTCCAATAATCCTACTGGAAGTAACACATGTTTCTTTTCAACCAGGACAATAGAAAAACTAACAAAGACAGTTGGAGGAGCCAAAACTGTTTTAAAGCCCAAAGCAGTTTCATCACTGGCATTTTTGCTCGTAGTCTTCTTGGGGGGAGCAGAGGTGTACGCGTGGGGGGTAGTGCACGGGAGGGTGTGTGCCTGTAGTCACACCTGTGTCACAAACCTCACCTGTAACCTCTCTCGAGTGCCACGTCCTTTGCATTCTGTCATGACCACTCTCCCGTTTGTAAGATTCAACACAACAGTGTGTCTGAGGTGGGTCTGTGACTTCTCTGAGCAGACGGGTCATGTTCAGTGGCCCACACTGGGTGGGTGGGGGCGGGTCATGGGATCTGGGCCCGAAAGCTGTGGCAGTGGGGGGACCTGGTGGGGAGGAAGGCCCTGTCCTTCGGGGGCTCCGCTCACCAGCCCTGCTGTTCCCCATCCACAGTGCCACCCTGCGCCTGGCCTGTCCCCACGGTCACACAGCAAATGCTCTTCCTCTCCTGTGCTTTTCCTGCAGCGTCGGTGTCATCTACGGTTTTGTGGCAAACGACCACCTCAGGACCCACATCGGCAAGACGTGGAAGCTGGCAGACAGCAACATCAGAGACCTGAGGACGCTCGTGAACGAAACTCCATCGGTAAAAACCCCGACCTGTGTGTCTGTGATGCTTCGTGTTTGGGGCCTTTTGGAGTTCCGTATATATCTGGAATTTTACTTAGGCCTTCTGGAAACCCCAGGAATCAATGTGGACACGCGTTGTCTTTTACTTTTGTAGATGAAGAAGTAAAGGCCCAGCGAGTGATTTCTAAAAGAGTACAAAAACGTGTTTTCAAAATTGGTGTTACCTTATTTTGTTGAGAGATAACATAAAATTACAGTATATATTATAAAAGCATTTAACTATTTTAAGAGTTTTATAATTAACTTTAAAAAAAAATCTTTAGGTGCCATGATCCTTTTTTTTTTTTTTTGGCAGTATACTTAACTCACCATTGTTTGCACAAAGTTACTTTGTAATGAAACCTTCCTTCTTTACAAACATGCATTTGCTCATTAGTCTGTATAGATGGGGATATGGGCACACACACACACACACACACACACACACACGCACAAGTTGTCTTTGGGGACGGGAACACGACGGGCCGAGTCGCCTTTTTCCTGTGTCCCAGTAACATGTTGACGGTTTGCCTGTTCAGAAGGTTGTTTGTAAAAATGTCTGAGCAGGAACCAGACAGACCCAGGCCGCTGAGCTTGGGGGACCAGCCTTGGGAGGGCGGCCAGCCAGCCTGCCGGGTTTGGTAATTGGAGCCCCAGAATGCACGGGTCTCCTCACACAGGGCAAGGTGCTGTTCCAAGTTTGTTACAGTCTACAAAATCCAGACCCACGGAATAGTGTCCTAGTTTGTGAAAATGGGGGGAGGGGCTCAAAGGGCAAGGGAGGCAGGCAGTTCTTACACGTTGCCACTGGAGAAGCTAATTTCATGCATCGTGTTACAGCAGTACAGAGCAGGAAGTGTTTCGTTTTCGATGCGTAAAAATTCATCGTAGTTTTACCTGTCGCTCTGATGACTCCAAAGTGAAACCTTTTCCCTAAAATGCTGGCAAAATTAAATACATGGCGAGTGTGGCTGGAATGCTTGGGGATTGCGTTCATGAACTTGGAGGAGAGTACATTGTTATGGCTTGTGGGGAAACCTACCTACTTCCAAACACAGGAAGAGCTTTTAAGAAGTCTACAAAAAATAAGGCAGAGAATGTGCCTCGTCATTCTGTAGAAGAAGCATACCTGACCCCAAACACCGTAAGATATTCATTCTTATCCACTCATGGGAGAAGCGAAGAGTAAACAATGATGCACACTTTCACTGGGAGGACTGGCATTAGTTATGCAAGAACAACAGCAGAGCGGCGGGGACTGTGCGGAAGCCCCTAAAACACAGAGACCGGACAGCAAGCTCAGGAGCAGCCTCCGGATAAAATGGTCCTGCAGTGGTAGTTACCAACGGCCTCAAGCTCCTTCTAGCTCCTCCCTTCCGGAGGTGGAACCCTTTACGTCCCTTGGATCCAGGCTGTCTCTGTGACTGGTTTTGACCAGAAGCATTCAGCGGACGTGACCTCATGCACGTGTTGAACTTCAGCTTCCCCAGGCCCTGCAGCCTCCAGCCCTGTTCTCCTCCCGCCAGGGCCAGAGTGTGAGAGCCCCCAGGCCAGACGCTGGGGAGACCAGAGGCCACAGAGAGAGGGGCCTGTGTGTGCCCAGCCACGCCAGCCCAGCCCGGCTGGCCACAGAGCCCATGCACAGAACCTGAGAAACTATAAGTCACGTTTCTTAAGCCAGTAAACCTTGGGGTATTGTGAAGAAGTCTGGGTATCAGAAAATGTAAATGTCTCCAAGAACCTGCTTTCTTTTTTAAATGTTCTGGTTCTGGATAATTTTTGTATGTTAAATCTTATTTTATGGTGGCTCTGGATCGTAGAAGAGAAGGTTTCACGTTATTTTATTTTATTTTATTTTATTTTGTTTTGTTTTAGCAAATCAGCTATGTCCTGGGCCAGTACTCCACCGCTAAGGAAAAGGCATTCTCAGATCTGGACAGTGAGTAGAACTTAACGTTGCCTTGGATTTTTTTTGTCTGTTTGTTTTGGCTAGAAGATGCTAAGGCCAGCTCCCATAAAACATGGACTAGGAGGTGAAATACGCCGTTTCTACAATTTCTGTGTGACAGGAGGGGGAAGCAGAAAGGTAATTCCACAGAGGTATTGCCAGTTTGCGGCGTGTGGTTCAAGGATGAGAACCCAGCAAAATGCTCTTGCTTTCTTGTAGCCACGAGTGCTTGCTCTTGAGGCCCTCTGTGAGGGAGGGAGGAAATGGGTCTCTGTCAGGTTCATTGTGAAGGATGGAAATAGGCTCTGGAGAAGCCCGGGCCTCAGAAGCAGAGGGCTGGGCGTGCTGGGCCCTGCCTGCCCACAGGGTCTCATGCACAGTCTTGCTCAGGCTTCATACATGACAGAGCTGGGGCAGCTCTGTCTGCAAGCCAACATTTGGCAACATCCGGAGACATTTTTGGTTGTCCCAACAGGCGAGGGTTGGGGTCAGGTCTAATGGCATCTGTTGGTTGAGACCAGAGGTACCACTAAAATTCCCACATGCACAGAATGAGTCCAGACCAAAGAACTACCCAGGCCCTAATGTTGGTGGTGCCAGGGTGGCGAGACCCGGGTCCAGCTGGAAGTGTCTCGGGCCCCAGGCAGTTGAGGCTCCAGAAGATAAACCCCGTGTTCCCAGTGCGATTCGATGCCCGGTCTCTGGTGATTAACTTTTCCCTGGGGCACAGCTGGTGTGGGCACTTGGAAGAGCATGAAGAAGTTTCCAGACAAGAATAACACCCAGACAGGGTCTAGAGTAAAACTGGGATTTCTCTGCGGGAGAGACTGAAGGTGATTTTCCGGGTGCCGACCCCCTGCGGGGCGGACAGCGTGAGTGGGAACGGAGGGGGAGCACATGGAACAGACCTCACGCTCCCTTGTGCCTTTCTGAATTTAGATATCAAGTCGCTGCTTGGAGGTGGAATTCATGAACAACTGAGACCGAAAGTAATCCCTGTTCTCGATGACATCAAGGCCATGGCGGCTGGTAAGTGCTGTGATCGACCGAAGGGCCCTGAGGACGTGCCACCCAGAAGTTGCGGGCTCCCAGGTTCGCCTTCCCGTAGAGTTGCTGGGGTGACAGCCACCATCTGTGCTCTTGCACACAGGCCAGGCACATGTTTTCTAAAGTTTATGTCACAGTTGTCACACAGATGACCTGCAAGACATTTGGGATAATAGTGGCAGAATTTGACAAGGGCCCGCCACCCGTTTTTGTTGATGAAGTTATTGGAACACAGGTGTGCTCATCTGTTTAAGCATCACCTCTGGCTGCTTTCACCCTGGATGGCACCCTTGTGGCCCACAGAGCCTGAAATGTTCACTACCTGGTCCTTTTACTGAAAAAGCTTGTTGACTTCTGCTATAGAAGACAAGTAGCCTGTAGAATTTTAGGCTTTGGGGTCTATTGATTACTTTTGCCCCCCGAAAAAAACTAGTTCTGTAAAGTAAAAAAATATATAATGTATGCAAAGTCACCACAGCTGATAGGATAAGTGAATAGATGTCCTGGTCTTAAAAGACTGCACATCGGACTGCAGTTTTACAGAAAGGCCTCCCAAGCCCTTCCGGACGTGTAGAACGTGTCTGTGCCACGTACCAGGTGCTCATCCTGCACCAGATTAGTCAGTGCTCACAGCTCTGTCGGGTGGTGTGGTTACCTGCATTTTCCCAACTAAGACAGTGAGGCCCAGAGAGGGTGTAACCTGCCCAAGATCAGGGAGCCGGAAAGTGGTGGTGTTGGGACTCAAACCCCAGTCTGAGTAAGGGGTTAAAGCCTATATAGGGCCATCCTACAGGGTGTTTGGGTCCATTCGGGAACGTGAAGATGCAGGGTGCTTCTGTGCCATCCACGGTCAGACGGCCCAGAGTCGCCCTCGAGGGAGAGTTAGAAATGTGGAGTCAGGAGCTGGTGTGACCAGGCCTCCCTGCACCCCAGGCCCCTCTGCATAAGTGAGTGGATGAACGATGCCATGTGGTTGGTGCGGGTCACCCCATGGTTTGCTCAAAATTTAATGTTTGAATTATAGTTCTCTCTGGATGAAAGACAATGAAAACACATTTATTTTTCTCTTCAGTGCCTTATGTATCAGTATTCAAATTCTATTTTTTAACAGTCAGGCCAAATACGTGACAGTTCAGCCTTGAGTGTTGGCCAAGGCTTTGAAAAATGCAGTTAATAAACAGCTTTGGCAACTGTCTTGCTAAAAATTCTTTGCAGGTTTGTGCATTTAGTAGCCTTTGGAGAGAGCGGAAACATGCACATTTGTTTGTGCAAATCATAGCGGAGCTGCTCGTCGGGGTCTGTACAGGAAACGTGCCACGGGCTCGTCAAATGGGCGTTAACGAAACTGGAGGTTCTGAAATATCTCTTCACTGACTTCAGCTACATAATATGTGACCTTGGCAGGCCGGGAATGACTCCCAGGGTTACAGCCCACTAGATATTTTAGAGACTTAAAATGCTCTGAGGCCTTCGGGAAAATCTATGTATGTTTGCACCTCTCAGTCCTGGTCCAGGACAGCGTAGAACTCATAACCCGGAGTGTCAACGGCTGGCGCTCAAACAGACATGTTTTCTAGGCCATCGGTGTATTTTATCACCCACCATTTTTTGCTGTTGTTTGTTTCTCGCTTTAAAATGACTTATCTTGGAGTCGAAGTGGGGAGGCAGACCATGAGAGGTAGACCACACGACATGAAGAGGGGAGGTGTGTGCTGTGTATTTGGTGTGCTCTTTCCCCTTCTGTTGTGTGTTTCTAGTTGCCTCTGGGTTCTTTGTTTTTGCTTTGCTAGGGTAGGTACTTACTGAGCCTCTAAGAGAGCAGGCACGAGCTCTGTGCTGATCATTCTGCAAGGTAGGTGGCAGAGAGAGAAGCTGAGGCCCAGAGAGACTGTTTGATAAAGTGCTAAACTAAACGATGTTAGCTGTCTAATTTCAATTTCCAATCATCGTCTGCTGTGGCTGCGAGTCACTAGAGGAACGGGTTGTAATGTGCTGCCTCCCTACTCGTGAACACGGAGCTCCGCGCCCCAGAGACACCAGGACGGCAAGCGGTTGTTGGGGGTGTCCCAGTGTAAGAATGCGCTGCGGGGCTCCCAACACGAAACAGATGGACTCAGGGTCATTGAGGGCGTTCGGTCTGAGTGTTCCAATGCCCGCATTTCATGAGGAGCCTGGTGGTGGTTTCGCCTTTTGCAGATGAGGAAATTGCCAAAGAATGTTCAGGAATCGGCTCCCACGTACACAGCACGTAGGGAAGTTCAGGTCTGCCCCCAGACCTGCCCGAATCCAACACCGTGCTCTTCACCGTTGCTCTGTGCGTACCTCCAGCTCTTTGACTTCCCACAGCTAAAACACACCTGGGTGTGACCAGTGTTTCATGTAGATGGAAGCTGCTTGGGAGCAAAGATGCTAGCTTTTCTGGGCTGGCCTCTGCAGGGCTGGGTGTCGCGTGGGCGGTGACACCCTTTCCTGAGGCTGCTCTGCCAGTGACAGCCAGTTAACGCCACCCCCAGATGTCCCCATCGTGTTCTCCAAGTGGGAAAGCTGAGCTGGCCATAGTGATGGGCAGAGGAGGCCAGCAGTGTCCCTGTGTTCCCCTCTGAGACTGCCCCTGGCAGCAGGCTCTTCTGGTGGCCTTCCAGTGGCATATACACATTCAGGTCAAGTCCCTTCAGGGGACCACTGTAGATGAGAAGTGATTTGCCATTGCCAGGCTAGTGGGTGCCCCTGTTCTAAAGTAAGCTGTGTTCCTACAGCAATCAAAGAGACCAAAGAAGCCCTGCTGAACGTAAACAAAATCTTAGGGGAGCTGAAAAAATCAACTGCACGACTCAGCACCAGCCTGCACGACGTTAAGACGAACCTGGAGCAATCACTCAATGACCCCATGTGCTCCGCACAGTCAGAGATGGCCACTTGCAATGACGTCAGAATGACTCTCAGCCAACTGGATAACAACACCAACTTGGGCCAGGTGAGGCGGGCGACCGGACCGCAGGGCTGTGTCTTCAGACCGCTGGGAAGAGCTCAGCATGGGCGCACCTGTCAGGTGCACAGTGACCTGGGTCTCCATCGGCCTTCTGGGTCAACCGATGGCCACCGTGCTCCCGAGGCTGGGGGTGGGAGAACAGGAAGCCCCTCCGTGTGAGCTGTCCTCGACCTACTCGGCGGAACATCAAAGTGAATCCAACATTGAAAAAAAGGGGAAACAATGCACTTTTGTAGACTTGAAAAGTTAAACTATATTTTGAAATGAAGTCCCTAGTATGTTGACCACATATACCTAAATAAAAAGCAATTTCTCATATTCCCAAAGGGAAGATCAGGGAAAAAAAAAAATTTGGAGCAACTTTGAATGTAGAAGTTCTGAATCTATAAAATATTCATGGCTACTCATGGTCTTTAACTTAGCTAGACAGTGATACACATACACATACCACACTTATATAAAACAGTGTTTTCCTGGGCCCCATTCCCCCACTTTCACACTTCATCAGTTGTGTTCACTGAAACACTTCGCCTCAGCGGCTGTGTCTGCGTGTCTCCTACAATCACTTTCTTTAGCAGCAAACAGCTTCTTAGAGCCCAGGGTCCACACTCGCACTTAAATGAGATCGGGTCTGTTTCAATGTAATGTTTTATTCCGGGTACTTTGAAACACGAGGAAAACCACTAGACTGGTACGGGGAACCCCCGTCCACACCCTTCACCCAAAGCCACCGGTTACCGGCACTTTGCTCCACCTGCTGGATCATATTGTTTTACCGTCTTGTCCACCGATCCGCTCATCCATCTGTCCTGTGATCATATATGTGCATAAAGCATTTTGTCCTTTTCTCAGTTTTTTGGATGTAAGTTACAGACATTACGCTCTAGGTGTTCACCCCTAAATACTTCCTGCCTTCACAGTACAGCCACTATACAGTTACCGAAGTTAGGGCATGCTCACGTAGCGTTGGCCTAACACTACCTTCTAAACCATACTTCGTATTCAGATTTTGCCGATTTTTCTAAAGATGTCCTTGACAGCGGTTTCCTCCCGTTCCAGTCTGTGGACCAGCCAGGGTCACACGGGGTCTCTGGCTTTCATGTCTCTTTCGTTTCTTTGATCTGGAACAGATTCGGAGTCTGCCTTTGTCTCTGGGCATGGACATTTTCAAAGACAACGGGCCAGTTGTCATATAGGATGAACTTCAATCTGTGTGTGTCCAGTGTCCCCTCGGGATTAGCTTTCAAGTGGGCATCTTTGTCAGGATAAGCGATGTTGTACCCTCCTGGGCACCTGGTGTGGGAGACCCAAGGTATTTGTCCCAGTATCGGGGAGAGAGAGATCGCTTTAAATCCATGAATAGTACTGTATACAGTGAAAAATTTATGCTAGACAATGCACCAGGATAACTGCTGACCGTAGTACTTTTAGATGTGTTTTTTTTAAGTTATTTATAACTTTATCCAACAATATTCAGTACCTGAAATTCTGAGGTCACACCTATTCTAAATTTAGACACAGCACTGTGTTAAATTTCCCTAAATTTACCCTAAAGTACCCTAAGTACCCTAAAGTTCCCAAAGTACCCTAAATTTACCCTAAAGTACCCTAAGTACCCTAAAGTTCCCAAAGTACCCTAAATTTAACACAGTGCTGTGTTAAATTTCACTCCCTCATTTTTACCTGACTGCGGCAGGAGGCCTCCAGTACCTAAAGTTAGTGTTTAATACAGGCCATTCTGAGCTAAATTTGTTTTCCCCAAACGATACTCTGCTTCCCCAAAGAAATTTAGATCATCCTCTGTACTATAGAGGCCGTGGAACTCGGGTATAAGATGACAAATGATTTGGGGAGTAACCAGCCTGCCTCCTATTTTGTGTTGCACATTTCAGCTCCCATCTTTGGATAAGCAAATTGATAATATTACAAATGTGCTTCAAACAGACTTGTCCAGCCTGGTCCAAGAGGTATGTATGTTTGTTTTGGAAAGTACAGTAGCTTATTTTCAATAATGAACTGATATATAAGAAAATAGGTAACAGCAAAGAAGAAGTGGAGTTCTGGAGAGGGGTTGCCAAGAAGGGCGGTAACTGCTAACTTCCAGGTAATTCTGTGCGTCATTCCACCTCAAGAAATGTTCACTAAGCATCTCGTACGTGCAAAGACACCACGCTGGGACCAAAGAGAGGGAAAGAAACACAGGCTCTCGCCTTTCCAGGGCTCAGGACCTGATGGGTCAGCACGGACTCTGCCGCAAGCTGCTCCCCACGCCCCCACGGAGCAGCCGTGCTGGTGTTTGCCTCCACGCCTGCTTTTGCACGCTTCCGCTATGCCCGCCTCCCTCTGCCTGGCCCAGCTACCAAGGCTACGAAGCACTAGCTACTTTAAGTTCCATATTTCACTTTCTCAGTGAGGCCTTTCCTGGGCACCTGGACCAGTTCGAAACCCGTTTTAATACTTTCTTACAGTGTTGCAAGTGTTCTTTGTTAAGTTCCTCATGGCTGCGATTATTGCTTTGATGTCTGGGTTTCCACTGGACTGGAAACCCTGAAAAAGGCAGGGTCCCCATTGGCCTAGGTTTCCCCGATAGCCTGCCAGTTACTACTGCTCATTCGGCCAAGACCTTGAGTGCCCAGGGAATATGTGTAGGTTAGGATTTCGTAGGTGCCCTAAGCCTGTAGGAAAGGGAGAGAATAGTTTTATTTTTGACTCTACTATGACTGTTAGCATGGATATAAAAATATCGTCAAGTAGCTATTAAACTCAGCTACATATGAACAGAGTACATATCCCCTTAAACAAGAGATTAAGGCTCCTGGTCTTTGGGCTCCGGTGTCATGTGGTTTGTTGAATAAAGGAATTGAATTAGGGGATCTATAAGGCTTCTTCCAGCCATAAAACTTCTTACCACAGGTGACCCACACAAGCCCAAATCAGGGTCAGGGGCACAGAAAACCAGCACAAGCTCCCGAGTGCTGAGGGTGGCTTAGTCACCTTTGAGGAGACAGGAGTCAGGACGTTCATCCTGTATCCTCGATGTTGCCAGGGTAGCGTAGAACCACGCCAGCACCATCAATATAAGGAAGCGTGTCACCTGGACTGGACTGCCATAAACAGATACCACAGGCTGGGTGGCCGATAAACAGCAGTTCTGGTGGCTGGAAGTCTGAGATGGGGGTGCAGGTGTGTCGGGTTCTGGCGGGAGACCCCTTCCAGGTTGCAGACGGGCATTTTCTCATGGTGTCCCCTTAGCATGGTCTTCTCCTCACATGGAGAGAGCTCTCAGCGTCCCCTTTATAAGGGCACCAGCCCTGTTCTTGAGCCCCTGCCCTAAGACCCTCCCAAAGGCCCCACCTCTTAGTACCTCCCTTTGGGGGTTGGGACTCCAACATGTACACTTTGGGAGGGACACAGACTTGGAGTTCAGAGCAGGTCACAATCCTGTGGTGGTCCCAAGCAGCTGGCTAAATACACCAGCTGACAGAAACAAACACAAATCCAATCCCCAGGGGAAGGCTGACTGATTAATTGACTGACTTGGAAATAATGACACTTTCCTGTCATAGACGTAGCCACAAAGTGACCCAGCGTGGCGTGGCTGTCTTGCTTTCGTTTTAGCTCCACTACAATTTTTATTCTCTCTAAACTGTCCTTTAGTGGTGTTCTGTAAGACTAGGTCTCCACTGTTACTGTGTGATTGCACTGGAAAAATAGGGTTCTATTTTTTGGAAATTCTTCTGTATGAGTCAGACATGAATTTACAGGCGCACTGGTGCGTTACATGGGTCAGGGTCCCTTACCTTGGCACTGCAGGCGCCGTAGGCTGCCTGTGCTTTGTGGTGGGGTCTGCCCTGTGCACCTCAGTATTCACTAGCCCACACCGGCCCACACGAGGCCAGCAGCGCCCCCACCCCCAGCTGTGATTGCCAACAAGTCTCTGAACATCACCACATGTCTCCTTGGGATCGAATTGCCTCCATTTGAGAAACGCTGGTACAGTCTAGACACATGGAAATGTTGAACACGAGTTAAAAGTTAGAAGTTAAAAGTTAAAAATGTTTAGCATGATCTTTGGTGGATACAATTTAAAGAAAGTCCCTCTAATGGGAATATTTTTAGACTTTTGATGACCACATAATGATAATTTATGCCTTAGGTAAATCTTGCATTTGTTATTTTGCTTTTCTACTCTCTACTAAATGAGTAATGGTTAACTGCTATTCTACTTACTGTGTACCTCAATTTATTTTTAACTATTTTTAGGGCTATAAATCCTTTAATGATATACCTGAGAGGGTGCAAAACCAAACCGCGGACATGGTATCAGGTGAGATTCACAGTTCGAAATAATTTTGTGTCTCTCCTTGTTAAGAATGGGACGGTTAGTACAAAGAAATGGATTAAGAATGGTATTGTTATTTTTCCCTCGTAAATAATATACTCTCACTAAGACCTAGAAAATTCAATGCTTATCAGAACTTTTCAGTGGTGCCACCTCCACTTGTGATGTAGTTTGTAAAAACAATGACCCTCTCCTGACCACGGTCCCGCTGGTGGAGGGCCACCGGGGGTGACAAGCCCTCGTCGGGAGCTGTCAGAATGAACACCAGCCAAAGTCTGGGAGGTCACATTCCGACTGTTTACACTGGGGAAGAATGTAGATTATTATAGCTCCTAAAAGAACTTAAAAGTGATGTTTTTTTTTTGGAATACTATGTATAAGGATTCACTTTGTCTTTGACAAAGATGCTCATTTGCCTCTTATGCTGATATAATGATATTTTAGGCTCTTAAGGTTGCTTACAATTTTGGGGAGAGAGCCTGAGGATGAGCGTGTTCCACTGGTCTTACATGATGGACTCGTGCTGTGTTTAGGTTTTGGTATTTGGGGTGACTGGGCAGAGAAAGTGCAGTGTAAACAGTTCTTGGTGCAGAATGGGATACACCTGGGTTATCTACGGAGAGAAGAAATTTCTGAAGCTGTATAAGACTATTTTCTTTGTTGCTCTTTTTTTTGTCTATGAGACATTAACTGCCTTTTATTTGTATTTTTAAACTTTTTTTTGACACTATCACAGATGTCCCCATTTTCCCCCCTTTGCCCACCTGCACCCAGTCCCTACCCCCCTTCCCTCTGGCCATTACCACACTGTTTTCTGTGTTTATGGGTTATGCATATATATTATGTTTTTTTTGGCTAATCCCTTCACCTTCTTTCATCTAGTTTCCCCTCCCACCTCCCCTCTGACAGCCGTCAGTCTGTTGCATGAGTCCATGCATCTGTTTCTGTTTTGTTTGTCAGTTTATTTTGTTCATTAGATTCCACACATAAGTGAGGTCATATAGTATTTGTCTTTCTCTGACTGGCTTATTTCACTTAGCATAATGTTCTCCAGGTCCATCCACACTGTTGCTAAAGGTAAGATCTCTCTTTTTAATGGCCAAATAGTATTCCATTGTGTAAATGTACCACAGCTTTTTATCCACTCATCAACTGATGGGCACTTGGGCTGTTTCCAGATCTTGCTATTGTAAATAATGCTGCAGTGAACATAGAGGTGCTTACATCCTTTCGAATTGTTGTTTTGGGTTTCTTAGGATATATTCCCAGAAGTGGGGTCACTGCATTCCCACCAATAGTGCACGAGGGTTCCCTTTTCTCCACATCCTCACCAACCCTTGTTTATTGACTTACTGATGATCACCATTTGGGCAGGTATGAGGTGATATCCATTACGGTTTTAACTTGCATCTCTCCAATAATTGGTGACCTTGAGCATTTTTTCATATGCTTATTGGCCATCTGTATGTCCTCTTTGGAGAAGTGTCTATTCAGGTCCTTTGCCTACTTTTCTTCCTTTTTTGGGCGGCGGGGGGAGGATCCATTTTTCAACTAGGTTGTTTGTCTTCCTGGTGTTGAGTTGTTTAAGTTCTTTATATATTTTGGAAATGAACCCCTTGCCTTTGTGTATCACCAGCAGATATGTTCTCCCATTCAGTGGGTTCCCTTTTCATTTTGTTGGTTTCCTTTGCTGTGTAAAAGCTTTCTATTTTGACATAGTCTTATTTTTTTCCTTTGTTTCCCTTAAAGACTTAAATGTAAGTTGCAAAACCATAAAAATCCTAGAAGAAAACCTAGGCAGGTAATATCTCCGACTATCTTCTCTTTTTAAAAGATCATTTTCTCAGTGCTTCTGTTTAGCTATTGACCAAGTGAATTGAAATACTGTGTTGGGCAGAGGTACTTGATTTTTCCCCCTAATAGCATTTTTCCACTACACAGTGTTTTGGATGCCTCGTGGGCTCCCTTGTGTTCAATCTGAGATTCCAGTTGAAAATACCGACATATTAGAGACGAGGTCCCACTGCTGTTTGGTAGCATCTGAGGGCTAACACACGCTGCGTGTCCTACAGCCACCTGCTTACCAATCTCTGTTTACTTCCTCTGTCTCCCCTTCCCGGACCTCTTCTGCCAGTTCCTGCAGCCCTCCCTTGTAAGTCTGGCAAAGCGAGGTGTGCAGGGTGCGTGAGCGAGGCCCATTGCACGCACTGTCATTGCCTATACACAAGCCAGAGTTTTCCCGGGTCTGGCCGAGTGCCACCCCATCAGCCGGAATATAAATTGCTTATTTTCATGTTCTTCTAAAATAAGTGGAAACCCTTAGCTGCCATGTTTTGATCGTTCAGTCCTATCTTCTGCACATGGTTTAAGCACCTACTGTGTGCTGGGTTCTGCCGGACTCTGGGATGGGAGATGAGTAAGGCATGGCCTGTGCTTCCTGTTTGATTGGACATGTGTGCAGGGGCCATCTGTCACACTCTGGTAACCTGTCCAGGGATGTGCAAGGAGTCTAAAGTGGGGCAAGGATGGACGGCTTCCTGGAGGAAGCAACTTCTGAGGCCTGCGGAAGGTATTTGCTCAGAGAGGGCACCAGGCACATACAGAGTCACAGGGAAACTGGGTTGTGTGGGAGGGCAGGACAGCTTAAGAGGCAGTAGGGCCCGATTCTGAGTTTAGGGAACTTTTTGTAGGAGAGGGGCATCTAAATACCACACCTCCAACGCCCAGACATCCCAGAGGTAAGAAAGAGGCCCATGGAGTCACCTTGCCAAAGACCCTGGGGCCTTTGACCACGTAACCATTTGGAGGAGGCACTGAGCCGCTGTGCCATGATACTCTCCTCCTGCAAGATGTTGAGATTTCAATATTTGTGACAACACACTTTAGAAAAGGTTCCTGCCGTGTTCATGTGGTGCCATTTTGGACCACGCTACCATCCACCCAGAAGTCACCAGGAGACCCAGGGTCGCATCGTGAGAACTGTTAAGCTTGTCTCGGCTGCTGCAGAGATATTTCAGGATCAGGGCTTTTAACCAACATGTATGTTCCTAGTACATCCCTGTCAAGAGGCCTTGTGTGAGTGCCGGGCCAGGTGACCTCGCACCCCAGGGAGCTGATCCCAGGGCCTGCCGTGATGGACGGACACTTCCCAGAAAGCTAGGACTTATCTCCTCCCTGAAAGATCGGATGAACAATAATCGGACGAACAATAACGAGAACGGTTTGACCACTGGCAATACTGTTGCTTTTTGCACGTCAGAAACACAGATGTGCTTTCCCAGGTCTCAGTTCGCACGAGACACACAAAAAGTTACCAAAAATGCCACCAGGAGGCACATGTTCAAAAAATCAGCCCTGGAGAGAGAATTTGTGCATTCCTGAATGCCATTTCTTAGATGGGAGAATTATTATATTATTGAATTATTTTTCTGAAATTATGTAACAGAAACTTTTAGAGTTAGGTAAATCCCATTCTAAAAAAGAGACATATGGGCAAATATTTAACCTCTATGAGCTTCAAGGTCACTGTTATTAAGCAGGAATAAGACTACCTACCTCGTGAAATAAATGAGTTAACTCATACAAGTGCCTGGCCCAGGGTAGGCACACGGTACCTTTTAATCCTCTGACCCTTTATGTTTGTTTTAAAATAAGTAGAAGAAAACTCTGGCTTGATTTCAGCACCATATCATCACAGTCCACGCTCATAGCTTGCTGTTTTGTTAAGTAATTGCTTTTTGATGGTCTTGGCTACATTCTGCTTGGTACAGAAGCTTGTCATGTTTTAAGTGCATACATAACCTGGGAAAAAATAAAAGTGGTTCAAGTTTTTCAGTTTGGTCCCCCCAAAACTTTCTGTTTCCTCTAGGTTCAGAAATACATAACTGAGGTATTTTCATTTTCAGGTATCAAAAGTACCTTGAATTCCATTGGTTCACATATTGAAAATGTCAACAAGCAGATTTCTATTCAGGAGAAGCTGACAGGTTTCTTGGATCCCATCAATCACATTGAAACTTCCATCCACCGCGGATTACCCATGTTGGAGGAATACAATTCATACAGGTGGGTGTCTCCTCCGAGCTGGTGAGCTGGGGGAACCTCGTGCAATGGGGTAAAAACTGGACACTCAAACCAGGGTAATCTTATGAGAGCAGGTTGTACAAAGAGGCCCACGGCCTGGTGGATTCACCCTGGTTTACACTCACTGGGAGAGCTGACGTGTTCGCTGTGCTGGCATATACCAGAGTCGAAACCAAATGGTATCTCGAGTGCCCAGCTGGGCCCAGGCATGTTTAGCACGACATTATCGGCTGCATTCTTGGCGCTGTCATTTATATTTCTGTGACTGCTCTGTATCTGCCAATTTGTACCTCATCCCTACATCGGGGGACCACTCTGCATAGAGCACGTGACTGTCCAGCCACTGTGTCATAAGCCTGAAACTAATAGAGGATAATATTGAACATCAACTGTAATTGAAAGAGGAAGAGTCACAGATCTTAAAAGCTTAGAAGTAAATATATCACAGAAATAAAATGCAATGAACTAAAATTGAAACTATATGAAGAACATCAGTGTAGTTGCGGCTCAGAGATGATATGCAAATTCACAAAGCACTTCATAGTTCTATTTAATTTGCCAGCTGGAAGTTCTTAAGATAAATTTTTAATGATTTGTGATTTTGATGTTGTTAGTGGCTTCTAGACTCTTAGTTATAATTACTTAAAGCACGTACCAGGATTTTAAAACTGAAAAGGAATTAAGAAAAACAAGGGGAATGGGGTAAGATTCTTTGCATCCCTGGGTTATAAAATAAATATGGAGAGGCTGGTGCCCCAGAAAGAACGTCCCTGAGCCCAGCTGGTTGTCCGGAGAGCTCAGGTAAGCCGCTCAGGTTTGCCCCGGGAACAACTGTTTGTGGTGGGTTTGGCTCTGAGCGGTGCCGGTGGACTCCTCAGACCCGGTGCCAGGGAGGACTTGGAGAATGGAGGTATTTGGAGGACCAGGTGAGATGTTAGGATGTGCTCTTCTCCCTGAAAGGCTCAGCCCCATGACCAGGAGCTATTTCCCCAGAACTGTTCTCATTGGCCAGACCTGAGCACATTCTAGACACGGTCGTTCCTATTCAGGTTATTAGTTATGCAAGAGCGCAAGATAAATGGTAACAACAATCACTAGCCTTTAGGGGCCAGTTACAGTGTGCCCACCAAACACTGCACGCGTGACATCTCCTATAACAAGGCCCCCCCCCAGCCCGGGGTTGTATCCTATTTATAGCCCAGTTTCATAGGAAATTGAGGCTCGGGGGCATGAACTGACTCACTTAAAGCAGCAATCACATGGCAGAGGGGGTTTTCAACCCCCACCTGACCAGTCTCTTAATCATTACCCTGGACCACGTCCCTCCCCTGGGGCTAGCCCACCCCACTGGGTATCAGGACAGACATAAGACAGACCCTTTCTCAATGAACTTACAATCCCATTAGTGTTTTCCACAGATGGAAAGAACACATTCTCTGTCAACGTGTCAGCTTCCCCTGCCCAGAGTCCATCAGCTCATTTTTAAGAGAAATGTGCCTAAGCAGATGAGGCAGACGTTAACGGTAAAAGATTTCTGGGCCCAGGCTTCGAGGCTTATTGAATTACGTGTCCCCAGGATCTGGAACAGAACGCCACAGAATGGATGCAGATGGCTATTATAATTATCAAGATTGCTCTTAATTGAATGAAAAGCTTTAGGGGCGGGCTGCTGTCTCGGGAGTATATTCTTTATTTTTTAGTGTTTTAAAGGTTGGGCAACATTTTTACCTTCAGCTGCCGGAAAAGCTTATTGTACATTCCAGGAATGCCAGGAAGACCTAACTGAAGATCCATTATCCTAAAATGTCACGCAGGACCATTACAAAACTGAGATTTGCGTTCTGCAGGCATTTGATTTAGGATGCTTGTAAAATTCTAAAACATTCAATGCGCTCACCATGTAGAGAATCTGTGGTTCCACGAAGAACTCAGTGCCCCCCAATATTCTTGCAACCACAAAATACTTTAGAGAAAGACCTAAGGGGAAAGCCCAATATTTCTCTATCTGTTGGCTAATTGTGGTCCATTTGCATCTCATCATCATTCTGAGAGGTGCGTAGAGCATTAGGAACCTGGAAAGGATGTGGATGTCAGGGCTGATGTTACCAGTATCCCTGGAGGCACAGAGCTGACCCTGCTTAGGAGCGCCACAGAAGTGAGGCCATGGAAGGAACGGTCCCCGGGAGGCAAGAACACTTCAAAACCAAGATAAAAATTAAGATTTTTTTATTGGGTTGGAAGACTAATGGTAGGAAAGCATCCTTTCATGTCGCCCTCTGAGGAATTTAGCAGGGGAATCTGATATTTGATCACCAAGTGTTACCCAGCTGCTTCCACCCTGGTGTGACGGCCTTGGCATTGCACTGAGGTCACCTCTGTCATGTGTAGTAACACTGTGCTCCTTTCACCAGGTGGCTGGGTGGCTTGGTAGCCTGCAGTTTGCTGACTCTCATCGTGACTTTTTATTACCTCGGCTTATTGTGCGGCGTGTGTGGCTATGACCGAAATGCCACCCCGACCAGGCGAGGCTGCATCTCAAACACTGGGGGCGTCTTCCTCATGGTGTGAGTGTTTGCCCTTCCTTGCCATGTGGAGGGTGGGAACTCAGGGAGGACAGCAGGTGACCCGGGTGGTGCACAGATCTGGTGGCCTCTTAGCTGAGCCCTCAGTTCCAGTGGTGTGTACCTGTGATTATACGTTTGTCATTCTGAGAAATTTCATCAAGTGGAAAAGTAAATTTCTAAGTTAGTTATACTTTGATAGACAAGCTTAAACATACTGTTTATCCATGGTGGGCTCCTCTTTAAAGCAGCTATCATGGAAATTATTTCAAAGTTTGCTTTCTTTTCCCATTGTTTTTTCCCTGCGTTCACATCCATCCATCCATGCATCCATCCAACCATCCATCCAACCAACCATCCATCCATCCACCCACCAATCCATTCATCCAAACATCTACCCATCCATCCACCAGATACTTGTTACTTACTTGGTATCAGACACTGTTCTATATGGCCATCTAGCTTGTTCCCTTTGAAACTCTAGAAACTTGACTTTGAACAGAGGTTACCTGTCTATCCCATCCTTCATGCTCTCCCAAGAATGTTGTTCTTCAGGGAGAAATTGGGTTGTGTGTCTTCTGTGCTTAAAGCCCCTCAGTAGCTCCCCTGCCCGGATCCACCAGCCACCCCCCTGTGCACCCCTACTGTCTTTTGAGCAGCCGTTCACCACACTCTGTGCCCTCTCTGGGTACAGAGCCACCTGGGCCCCCTTTGGACCCTCAAAGTCACACTTCCAGCCTCAGAGCCCCCCAGCTCACTGGATCCTCTGCAGAAAGCCTCGGTTTGCTCACCTGACTCAGAGCCCATGTCTGAACCATGGTGCTGGCTGCAGATGGACCCACGACTAAGCCATAAGGGTTGCCTAAATGTGCATGTGCCTAGGACTGAAAGGCCGCCATGTTTACCACCTCCTGTCCTCGCTCCTGGGCACACTGACCTGTTCAGCCTGCAAACAGCTGAAGATTCAGGTCCCTTTCCTACACTGAACAGTGATGACTGGCAGGTAATACTGAACATCGAATAATTCCTTATAGAATTCTTAACCTTAGTTCTCTTTTTTCCAGAGGGGTTGGAATCAGTTTCCTCTTTTGTTGGATATTGATGATCATTGTGGTTCTTTCTTTTGTCATTGGTGGAAATGTGGAAAAATTGGTCTGTGAACCTTACCAAAGCAAGAGGTTATTCCAGGTAAATGTGCTTTCCGTGACCGTGATGGGAGGCTTGGGCCGAAGCGTCGACTTCTCCTTATCATGTGGGTTCTTCGGGAGCAGTGCGAACAGATGAGCAGTTCAGTTTTTATTAGACAAGTTGAGATTCCCACTGTTATTTGCCGAGCAAAAAAAAAAAAATGTGCTAGGATATATTTTTGGTAAGTGAAACCAGTACCAGGAATTCAGGCCCGTGTATCAGTGGGGATGGTAATATTTGGGGAGAAAAAAATTTTCCTTAGCAGTCATTGTCAAATGTGGCTGGAAGTATCAGAAAATAGATTCTTGGGCTCCTCCCATGTTCCGGGAAGTGTCTGGTATTCGAAGTGTCTCCCAGATGCCCACACAGTTGCCCACACAGATGGTTTGAGGCCATAAGTCCAAAATGAAAGGGATGATAAATTCTGCGCCTCCTGGCAGACAGTTTATATCCAGCAGACCGTCTGCTGAGTCCATTAGTAATCCAAGTCAAGCCTCCCTCTAAACTTTCTCCCTCGGAAACCAGCCACTGTAGACACCAGGGGACTGTCTCACCGTCAGCTTCAGTAGTAAAGGAGGAAGTTTCAGTTTACATGCCTGCCTCCTAAGTTTGGCTTTCCAATATTTTTCTCCAGATTCTGATTTATTAAGTATATTTCTGCTTTCCTGTCTGACTGTATATATTTTCCACCTCCGTCTGATCTGTTCTAAAGTCAGGTGAACGGCTGTTAAAGTAACCAGCTGTTGTCATGGTATTTTCATGACTCAGTTGGTTGAGGAAAATTAAATTGAGAGCATCAATTGCTTCACTTGGTCTCTTGATTTAAAAAAATAGTAATAATACATCAAGCCAGGCTTTATTTTCTTCCATCCTGTGTTAAACCATTTAAAAATAATTCTTAACAAGTAGGTAATATTTTGAAACCATTTGCACGCCTTAAGCCGGCATACAGCCATGCACAGATTAGCCCCTCTCAAATGTACGTGACATGCAAAGTCAGAGAACGTGAGAATGTGCTTCTCCCTGGTCCCAAGGACAGCGAGGGGCCGAGTCCACCACTTCACGGCTGCCCGTTAGCTGCTCTGCACCCCATGGTCTGGTCTTCTCTCGTTTCTAGTGTGTTTGTTTTACTAAGATGTAGCGTTCTCAAAAAAAAAAAAAAAGTAATTTCACTAATTCCTCTTGATGCTACCTAGTGGTGGTTTGATTTATTCGAATCGCGCTATTATTTTCTACTTTTACATTGAAAATTAGTGAGGAAAATCATGACATGGAAATCCTAAAAATGTATTTAACAGAATATTCATTTTATATATGTTTGTGTGTGTGTATATATGAGGGTGAAACTGTTTTTTTTTTAATGTCTTAAAATTTGTTCTAGATTTTGGATACACCATATTTAATAAATGAGAAGTGGAAATATTATCTCTCTGGCATGGTACTTAACAAACCGAATATTAATCTCACTTTCGAACAAGTTTACAGGTATAAACAATTGCATTATGTATTTTTTTGCTAGTTCAAATGTTATTTTTCCCCGAATGAGAATTTTTCTTTCCAAGTGTCTTTAACCTTAATGATAAGATTTTCCAGTTTCTAAAATTAAGCTGTACTCTAGTCTTACCAAAAAAAAAATAGTAGAAATAAGACCAAGAAGATGATTCTTCCTTTGAACACCTTCCAGACCAGTGGTCCCCAACCATTTTGGCACCAGGGACCGGTTTCGTGGAAGATCATTTTTCCCTGGACCAGGGTCAAAGGGGGAGTTTAGGGAATGAATCGCATTCAAGCTCACTTCCTGCTGTGTGTCCCGGATCCTATCCTAACGGGTCTGGACTGGTACCAGTCTTTGGCCTGCAGGTTGGGGACCCCTTTTCTAGATCCTGGAATGGTGATGTCTTAAGGTCCCTCTGTCCAGCAGTCACTGGGACACACTGGTGAACATGACCCTAAAATATACAACAGAATCCTGTGAAAACTCTTGTTCACAGGATCCCAGATAAATGCCACGTAACAGGAATTTTGTGGATGGGTCCAAATCACAGACATGGGAATGGCCGTGCAGCTCAGGGGCCGGACTGTAGAGTGGGACCGTGTGGGCTCCTATCCTGGATCTCCCATAGGGGGCTCTGTGGCCCTGGACAGTTCAGCTTTTCTCTGTGCACCAGGACTCAAGTGCCAGTGGCTCTCCTCTAGCAGACACAGCAGACGACAGCAGGCGTGGCCACCCCCCTTGCACCTTGCCCTCATGGCGGACACTGCGAATCAACTGTGGTCTTCCACTCGGCCCAGAGACTCCTCAGGACGCTTCCCAACACACACTTTTGGCACACCTTGTCAATGCATTGGAGTTTCTGGGCAAAACTAAGCCCTCCCCAGGCTGAGAGGACAAGTCCAAGTTCTTTGTGACTCAGGCTCCTGCAGAACTTTCTAGTCCACCTTCTGCTTGTTAGAGCATCAGGCTCTCCAGTCCAACAAACCCACCTACTCGGGGCTCCCTGGAGAGGAGCTTTACACCTTCTAGGGACCTCCAAGTGTTAGAGGGTTCTGGCTGAAGAACTCAGGGGACATACCCCCAACGAGTAGCTGTTTGGCTGGCAGAGACACGCATCAGATGAGGCTGGCCTTTCTTAGCTCAGAGGAGGGGGTTTTCCCATCAAAAGGAAGCCCAGGGAGGTGAGGCCAAGTTATGTCTCCAGCCAAAGTATCACGACCGTCTGGATGTGGGTGGCCCGCTCCGTGTCTCCCTCCTGCCGTTAGAGTATGCGTCCGAGCGTGGGTTCAGTGAGTGAAGCCCAGCCCAGGAATTTTGGAGGGAGACAGTCTGGAAGACCTTTCATGGAACCTTTCGATAAAGCCCGTGACACGCCTTGTAACACACCGCTTTCTAGCCATTTTGAAAGGAGAATTTACGGCCTCCCAGTGCGTAAACATGTTATCCCCCGCAGCCCTGGAAAGAACCGGAGGAGACAGAGAGAAGGGCATATACATACTAATCCTTCCAAACCTGTTCTCTAAGTGGGAATTTTATAAAGTGGGGAGCAGAGCCAGGAATGGTGGGTGCTGGGGCGGTCCACACGTCCACTGGTGACCACCTGCTGTGTCAACGTCCAGAAGCCCCTCTGGTCACAGACTGAGCAGTTAACGCTTCTCTTGACATTCGCAGTGGACAGAGGTGGTCACACCTGCCTCCCTGGGTCACATTCCTCTGTTTATCCCCGTAGTGACTGCAAAGACAATAAAGGCATTTACACCGCACTGAAGCTGGAGAACATCTACAATATCAGTGAATATCTCAACAACCAAGAGGTGAGTAATTAGAGCCAACCAGGAAATTCATGTAGCTCTTCACTAAATCCAGTTGTCTTTGTTGTTTCAAATTGACATGAAACTCACATAAAGCCAACCGTTTTAAAGTGACATTTCACCCATTCACAAGGTCATGCCACCCTCTCTTCCATCTAATTCCAAAACACTGGTACCCCCCCACCCAACCACTCATTTATTTTTCTTGAGGCACCAGCTTCTCCAGTAGGTGACACAGGTCCTGAGGGCACCTCACAGGGAAATGGTGTATCTCCCCGAGTGTCAGTGTTTGTAGAGCAACAAGCCCCACTTGTGTCCCAGGGGCGTTGGCTCTCCAAGACAGGCCACCATCTTCTGCCAGGCCCCTGACGAGGGAAGACGGCACCGACCACTTCAGCCCACCCCACTGTCATTCCTTACGAACTGTGGCTCTGGCCCCAGCACCCCGGGGTGGGCTCTCCTGAGCTCTGCTGGCCCTTGGCACGAGACGGCACTGCACCAGGGATGGAAGTGAATGGCATGGCCCCTCCGACCAGAAGGAGCAGGAGGAGGGTTTGGGCTGCCCAGGCCAGGGACACACCTGGAGTCCCGCTGGCCCTCTCAGCTATGCCAGAGAGACACTCAGGAGCCTTCTCTTCTGGATGTCTCCCATGGGAGCAGGCACCAAGGGATGCCAGGGACAAGGTCGTTCCTCAACCCCCACAGCTGGTCCACTGAGACCTCACGAAAGGCATCGCGGCGGCCTAACAGGTGTCAAACACGAAGAGTCTATTTGAAGCAGCACACAAAGTTGGTGCTGACCACCTTCCCTAAATATGCCTTGCGGTGTTCATAAGTACATAATCTTGTAACCAAGCTCAAAATAAATGCCTTCCGTACACACACTTGTCCATCACACCATGTGGCATTTTCTCCATGTGCCATGATGAGCGAGGTTGGAGAGGGTCCAGGACACTGGGCACTGCACAGGGCTGAAACTACTGACTGACCCTCAGGGCCACCCCACGAGAGTCACCGTGGCCCGCAAAGTCGGGCCTCCCGACCTCCTGAGTCCAGGGCGTGCTGTCCCCTGTCCCGGGATGCAGCCTGCCAGGCCCCTGTCAGCTTCTCTGTTTGTCAAGACCCCCTGGAAGGTTCTCCACTGTACCGCTCCCCACTGTCCTGGTGCAGTTCCTGTGCCTCTTCCCTTCGAGGTCTTCGAGGATAAAGAAGCAACATCATTTTGCGCTGCACCCCACCTCCTCACACGGTTCTTGTCACAGGGCGGAAGGAAGGAGGGGGCAGGGGAGGGAGGGGCAGGAGGAGTCGGAAAGAAATGCCCGTGGAGTGCATGCGTGTTGCTTTTCGTCCCGTATCATTTTCTTGCTCTTTGGTGACCTTGTTGGAGATAAGTAGACTGACTTCTGACCTTTGTTTTTATCACGAAGTTTACCAAAAACATAAGCGGTAATTTTGATGACATGAAGGTGAATATTGACAATATTGTCCTGCTGGATGTGGCAGGGAAAAAAAACCTCCAGGACTTCAGCTCTTCCGGGGTGGACAGAATAGATTACGGCGCCTACTTGGCAGAGGTACGACCCATTTGTTTACGTTTGATCTTTTGGGGAAAATTAGAGCATGGGTGTGTTTCTTTTTTGTTTTTATTTATTATTTTTATTGAGATAAAATTCAGGTAACACAAAAAATCAACTATTTTTGAGTGAGCAATTCGCTAGCATCTGGCATGATCGCAGCAGCGGTATATGACCACATCCTCCACCCAGTTCCAGAGCGTCTTCATCACCCCAAAACAAAGCTCTGTTCCCATTAACTGTTGCTCCTCATCCCTGTCCCGGGCCCAGGAAACCGCCACTCTGTGTTCTGTTTCAGTGAGGTTACCGACTCTGGATACTTTATGTGAATAGAATCATGTTGTGTGTGACCTTTGTTCCTTTCCTGTAAGCCAAAGTTTTTGAGATTCATCTAGGTTCTAGCATCTATCAATCAGCACCTCACTTCTTTGTAGGTTTGAATAATATGATTTTATGTTTATAAATAAGAATGCAGCCCTGGCTGGTGTGGCTCAGGGGACTGAGTGCCAGCCTGCGAACCGGAAGGTCACCAGTTTGATTCCCAGTCAGGGCATGTGCCTAGGTTGCCGGCCAGGTCCCCGGTTGGGGGGTGTGGGACAGATGTTTCCCACATGGACGGTTCTCTCCCTCTGATTCTCCCACCCCTTCCCTCTATTTAAAAACAAATAAATAAAATCTTTCAAAAAAAAAGAAAAGAAAGCAGAGGTCACCTGTGTAAGAGCGTCCCACCTTCTTTGTAGGCCCATGTGCACTCTGCTGCCTGTGGACATCGTTCAGGGTTGAAAGTCCCATTTCCATGACACGGTGTTCTTTCATTTCCATTCTTAGACAGCTAAAACGCCCACAAAGGTGAATCTTTTAACGTTTGCAGATGGTCTAGAAGAAAAAGCCAACAAGTTGGTGAGTTCGGGGAGTGGGGTTAAATTCTGAAATCGCTGTAGGTGTCAATGTCAATACCACCAACCCTCTGCAGAGGCTCCTGCAGAGGCTCCCTACACCCCAAGCAGCCGCCTGTTCACAACCGCTCTCTCCAGGGTCCCACCAGCAATCCCTGCCATGGGGCCAAAAAGTCCAAGAGCCTGGGAAGGTGCCCCAGGTGGTGTCTGCATGCACCCAGCTCTTCCCGAGCCCCGTGCTAGGTGCTGGCGCAGCTCCCACCCCATCGACCCCTCTGCCAAACATGCACACACATTCTCCTGGCAATGCAGGGAATGGAGACCAAGAACACGGGAGGAGGAGTCCAAGCGCCCTTTTGCACCACCTGTAAGAGGGTGGGGCGGGGGAAGGCAAAGACACCCTCCGAGCTCCGTGAGCTTTTCCCTTCACCAGCTGCTCTGCTGGCTGGTGATTGAATGGCTGGGACTGGTCCCTTTTGAGAGGCAGCAGAGCGTGGTGATGGGAAGCTGGGCTCCGGAGGGAGACCCCGATTTAAATCCTGACTCAGCTGCTGCCTAACTGGAGGACCCCGGGCAGGGCATTTCTCCACTCCGTGCCCTGGCTTCCTCCCCTGTAAGATGGGCAATAGGATTGTTGTACATTCATATACAAAACACTGTTGAAGTGTGGATTCCAGAAAAATTGCTCAGTGGAGCCTTGGTGTTCTCCTTGCAAAAGGAGACATTGCTACTGTGCGGTGACTGTATAGCAGCTCTGCATGGGGGCAGAGAGCGGAAACGCAGCCAGTGGCGCTCGGGAAGGACTGGGGAGTGTCGGTCGGTCCTTGCAGACAGCTCTTGGTTCTGTGATTCCGTGTCTGGGCAGGGCCCCTCCCGCAGCCCCCAGGCTCACAGCTGTCCTTGCACCCAGGGCCCTGGGGGCCAGAGAGAGTGCTTCGGGGACTGGAAAACTGGTGTTAATCTCTGTTTATTTCATTCTCTTTGTAGCCCCAAGGAAGCTTGAAGCGGTCCCTGGCAAGTAATGCTCAGAAGATTAGAATGATTTACCATGGCCAAGTCACACCTCTGGAATCGTCCATGGTAATGCGCTTTCCTGTGCCCCTCGCGTGACTCATTTCACCTGCGTGGCTGTCATTTAGCCTAATGCCACAGTATATGCATCTCACACAGGCAAACCCAACGGCCTCAGGCTGAGAAACTGAGCTGTTTTAAAAAAAACAAATGATACTATCTGAACTTTAAAGAAGACGCAACTTCAACTTCACCCCCTTCTTTCTGCTTACCTTCCTGTCTTTTTCCACCCGAGGGTGAACACTCGGATAAAATCTGACGTTGCCTCGTGTTAACACATTGTACTCCGACTCCCATCACTTTTACCAGCACTTGGCTGCACGCTGAGGTTTCTTTCTGTTCCGGACTGACTTATTCTCAAATTCTTTTCCTGCAAACCCTGCCAAGAAATCGGGGAGGGCAGGAGTGGGTCCTTTCCGCCTCCGCCAGCCCTGTTTGCTGTCCCGGTCAGAGTTTCCTCTCCCCTCTCTTCCGTCCTCCTGCCTGGCTTTCCTTAGTCTCCTCACCATCTTCTGGCTTTTTCCCTGAGTGCTGGAAAGGCAGCTTATAGCCGAGAAAGAACAGGGGCTCTGGCCTCAGGCAGATCTGAGTTCAGATGCTGCCTCTGCCTCTTCAGAAGTCACGTAGCTTCCAGTGTCCTTGTCTGGAAATGGTGGGACCGGCTCCTGCCTCGCTGGAGATGAAGGATTTCACCTGCCAGAGGGACTCTGTAAAAAGGGGAAATTATTTCTAGGCTTATAGGGGGTCTTGTTTGCAGTTGTCCAGGGGAAGACTGTGGAAATGGTTACAGAGTCACCATGCTCAGGCTGGGAGAACCATATTAGCTCACTTGACTTCAGAAGTTTCCAGAACTAGTTTTCACTGCCTCTGTTTTTCTTCTTCTAACTTTTTGATTCATTTGTGTATTTACAAGTCCTTGTACTGAATTTTCTTAATTTCTGTGCTGTACCACCATTTTCTCCTTTACTTACTTATGCCTTGCACAAATTGTTAACCTCTTAAGCTGGTTTTTGCATGTCCCTTAAATTCCTGCCTTCAAGTGGCCACAGGATTCCCTGTCCTTTTCAGGACAGGAGCAACCTGTCTACAAGTAGGCAAGTTGCTCTGTACACGACCTACAGTGTAAACCCGGGGTTAGCAAACAGTGGCCCTGAAAACTATGGCCTGTGGGCTCTGGCCTACTTCCTGTTTTTATCAATAAAGTTTTATTGGAACACAGTCACACTCGAGTATTCACAGGTGATCTGTGAATCAGATCACCCTTTAGGCTATTAGGGCAGAGTTGTAGGGTTGGGACAGGGCATGACTCACAAAGCTTAAAACCTTTACTATCTGGTCCTAAACGATGAAGTTTGCCAATCTCTGGTCTGAACCACACACGTTAAGCCACTCTGGTTGGGCGGCTGTATTTTAAGCAACGTCCGCCACTTTGGGCAGCCCTGACGCCGGACACGTGCTGTGCTGCCCTCCGAGGCTCTCGGTTGCCTGTCCTCATTTCCCGGTTCTCCCACCAGGGCCTGTGAGATGCACCTCATGACAGGGTCTGTGGTTCCGTCTCCAGCACCACCACTACGGAGCCAAGCTGGACCTGACGGCCGACTCGGGGCCACCCTGGGGGGTACACAAGGCGTGGGGTCTTGCTGCTTCATGTAGTGAGTGGGGAAATATTATCTGTGTTTATTTACCAGACAACTCTTCACCAAAGCATTCAGGACCTTCAACACAAAAGCAGTGGATTGGGGGTAAGTATTCCTTTTTTTTTTTTCTGTCATGGGGTCTTATTACAGAGGTGCATGCACACAAACTTTCAGAGATGCTGGTATTGCAGGTACTTTACATTGTTTAAAATCTCCATTATCCACCTATTTTGTTCCAAACTGGGCTTTCCTACCGTCTTTCTGTAAGTACTTCCGTCCACACAGACGACCTCTCTGAGCGGGGTTAGAGATACTGGGGAAAGCCGTGCTTTGATGTGTAGGATGCAAACCAGGAAGATGCACTAGTCACCTTTACTGAGAGCACGCTGCCTAACAAACAGCCTCCAAGGCTCAGTGCCTCCAACCGCCGACTTTCATTCCCACCCTCGGGTGGACTGTAGGCTTCTCCACACACTGTCCCACCAAGAGACCCAGTCTGGGGAGCAGTTTCTGTCTGGGCCACCTTGTGTCTTCCTAAGGGAAGATAGGAATTCAGGGGATGAATGGGAACACAGGCTGCCCCTTAAGCCACCTCTTAGAACCAGCACACAGCCACCTCCTTATGACCCATTGGCCAAAGCACGTCCCGTGACCAAGCCCACCATCCTCAGGGTGGGAAAGTGTACCCGCCCCTGGGCGGCCATGCCAGGGAAGGCGCCAATAATCATGAACAGCTGATACCATCCAGCACAGGGGCTCCTTGGGCTGGAAACATTCCCATAAGGGAGCTGAGTGCCCAGACTGTGTTGTATTCAGCTTGTACCCACGGCAACACTAGGCAGCTCCGGAAATATTTTGACTGCATGAAATTGGTGGCTCATGGGAGCTGTTGGAGGTCAATCTCACAACAGAAAACCACAGGTCCTTTCCCGAGCTTTCCTCAGAGCTCCCTAGTCCCCCCTTCATCACAGGGATTCTTGCCACGCTTGATTGGGTACCCCCCACCCCAGTAAACCATGAACTCCTCGGGTTAAAGTTGGTGCTCTCTGGGGCAACACCAAATCCACCTCTTTGTTGGTGATCTGAGGTCCTGACTCAGGTCCTCTGAAGACTGTCAGGTTTACTCTGCTCCGGGACCATCCCCATACCTTTCGTCACAGTTGCCATTCCATGAATGTGTGTCCCATGCCAAGGCAACCTGGAAACAGACTTAGGACTGCCCACAGGTCCTAGGCCACCCCAACACACCTCGTCATTCAGGGCAATGGCGTGCTGCTGTGTATTGCCCTTCGTGATAGGTGGGGGGGGGGGTGGCAGGTATCAGCCCTTACCCACTGGCCAGGCTGTGTGCCCTGAGGTCTCTGGGCACCTCTTCTAATTTGCACCAAGCTGCCATGTGGGTTGGCCTTGTCCTCATCTGTGTGACAGGGCAAAGAGCATGGACTTTAGGGTGGAAACAAAACTAGGTTCAAATTCCAGGTCTCATGCTTCCCAGCTTGGTGACATTGGGCGGGGTCAATTCCTTCACCTGTGAGGGGGGAGCAACAGTACCTTCCTTTCCACCCTGTGAGTATTCAGTGATGTTTCAGATAAAGGACCTGGCCCGGTATCTGGAACAAGAAACCACTTGCTATGTATTCCTCTCCTTCTTCCTGCCCCCAGGGGGCTGGGCTGGATCTGCCATGTCCTTCACTAGTGAGCCATGGGGGTGCAGGATGGAGTCAACAGCGCTCATACCCATAGGCAACGGAACCCTTTTCTTACTCCATAGATAGCATGGCGATTATTGCTGTTTTTCAGGTGAAAGTGCACAACGTCATTTCCTCTTTGGATTCTGCTCAGAACTTTATTGCAAACAGCATTTCTTCTGTTATTGTTCAAGTAAGTTTTTTTCCTTTTAATCGGCAGGCCAATAAGTAGACCTGTGCCCGTTAACTACATGACTCAGTAGAGTGGGGTATAGTCATTCTAACGGTTTCCAACTCTGATTTCTTTTCAGGAAAGTAAGAAGTATGGGAAGATGATAATTGGATATTTTGAACATTATCTGCAGTGGGTCAAGATCTCTGTAAGTAATTTATCTTTTATGAACACAGGGGAATCCTGTGTTAGGATAGTAATTTTGCAGGATAAAATCAGAAATAAGTAACATCAAATTCCTGGTAATTTGACAGGAGATAAGTAAAAGGACCTTGGATATAGGGTCCATAACTGGAGCTTCCTTGAGACTCAGAACAAGTGTCCAGACTGCACGGCGCCTCCCAGGTTGGAGGGCACGCCCCCCATGGTCTCCCCTGGTTCCCTGTGCTCACCTTCATCACAGAGATTCTTGCCACACTTGCCTGTGCTCCCCCGAGCAAACCTTGACTTCCTTAAGTTAGAGTGCACTTGAAGTTTGGTTTGTATACACCCTGGGTAGCACTGAGCCTGCTGCGGTGTTGGTTAGTCAGCTGCGTGTGGTTTAAACAACCAAAATTTGTTCTCTCACAATTCTGGAGACTGGAGATCCAAGATCAAGGTGTTGGCAGGGTTAGTTTCCTCTGAGACCTCACTCCTTGGCTTGTAGACACCTGTCTTCTTTCTGTGTCTTCACGTGGCCTTTCCTCTGAGCATGTCTGTCCAAATTTCCTCTTTCATGAGGACACCAGTCACACTGGGTTAGGGCCCACCCTAGTGACCTCATTTGAACTGACTTGCCTCTTCAAAGACCATATTTCCAAATATGGTTTTCAGTTGGGGGGTTTTAACATATGGACTTTTGGGAGACCCAGTTCAGTCTATAATGGTTATATCTACATGAATATATCGGAAAAGTTGAAGAGCACAGTTTTGTGCTCAAAACCAGTGGTTTTGAGGCAGCATGTTGCAGCCAGCACCCGGCTTTTCTGGAATTATGGTTTCTTGGAAAATGCGCTCTGTCATCTTGGGCTCTGAGCCAGCTGCTCTCGAGGCTTACTCCATGGTGGTGGTGGTGGTGGTGGCAGGGGTAGGGTAGGGTGGGGTTGGGGGGGTGATGCTTGCAGCTGAGTACCTTAGGTAGCTGCTGCTGACAAACATGGGCTTTGAGAAGTCTGGTGACTCAGGAAAATTTGGGATACCCCCAAACAGTCCCGAGCTTCGCAAATCTTGTTCCTGGCCCTTCACCATGTGAGCCCAAACTGCCTGCCATCTTCTCCTTCATTTCTGCCCCGCCCCATGTTCCAGCTACACTCACCTGCTTGAATCCTGGAACTTTCACGCTCCACGCAATTCCCTCTGTATGTCGTACCCCCCTTGCCAATCCCTGCCTCCAGTCCCCACTCGCGTGCATTGGGTGGGCCATGCACCTGGTCCTCCTTCCTGAGCCAGCTTCTTGGTGTCTGTACTGACACCTCCTCCCACCCCCAGAAGCAAAGGCCTCTGGGTTTCCTCAGTGGCAGCAGGAGGGAGCACACACGGCTGAGTAGTGGTGGAGGAAATGCATCATCATCATCGCCACCGTGGCCACTGTATGAGTTCTCCACTAGACCAAGGGACCACATGGTGGGCAGGTTTATACCTGGAGTACAATGCAAACACTTGGATCCGAAGCAGATCTGGACAGGAATGGTTCGATTAGACTGGAGCCTCACTGTGGGAACACTGGATGGCCACTGGAACAAAATGGATTAGGGCCGTACTGTGGGACTTGGGGAGAAAGACGAGATGCAGAAAAACACATAGAATACAACCTCTACCCCACTTTTGGTAAAGCAAACAGGGAAGGAGCCTATAAAGACTGTAACATAGTTTGAATTTGGAGATGCATAAGGCTATTAACGCAAGTTGCCTCGTAAGGTATAGGTGAGGTGACCAATAAGAAAAAAGAAATAAGACACACCACATTGTCCGTGTTCCAGAATTTTTTGAATGAATGAGTGTCGCTCTCTTAAGCCAATGGGACTGGAGCATCTGTCTGGGATCCATTAAACTTGTTTATTCTCGCCTCATTAATGAGGACCGTATTGTTCAGATTATAAGACACACACCCCCCAAATGTGGGAGGAACAATGGTTGTTAATGCTGCTGTTGAGTTCTGTTTACATTTACGTTGGTGAAATATAATGTTATTTATGTTATTAAATATTTTACCACATTTTCCCCTCAAAATTTCTCTTTTTTATTTTCCTCTAAAACCTGGATGTGTCTTATGGTCTGAAAAATACGGTACCTTGTTTTCTGTCTTTAAAAAGAGGGTCTGCAGGTACTTCTGTTTTTGTAAATAAAACTTTATGGGCACACAGCCACGCCCATTTTTGTTACATTATTTGTGGCTGCTTTTGCCATGGCAAAGTCAGGCAGTTGGGACAAAAATGTATTGTCTCACCTGCAAAGCCTGAAATACTCGCTCTATGACCCTTCACAGAACAACTTCGCTGGAGCTTCTTCTAACACATACATTGATTAGTGAACTAACTTTCCATTTCCTCCCCACGTCTTTGTCAGACCACAAAGGGATCAGGTGAGAAATTCAGACTGACATAAGTTGCTGGACAGGTGTGCTTTTTAATTTTTGCAGGGGTCCAGGACAATGGTTCCTGTTGTTCCAGATGACAAGGGAAGAAGTAGGAAACTGAGGCTCAGAGAGAATCAGGGTCTTGCTTCCAGGCACATGCTGTTGGACACTGTAGAACTCATCTGTACAAACCAGCTGCGGCTCCATATCTCAGAGGACAGAGAGAGCCTTCTCGTGCAGACGGGCTGAAGGAACACGGCATGTCTGGTTCTCGCAGGTTCTTGTGGCTCAGACTTTGCCTGTTTCTCTCCCCCTTAGATCGTGGAGGAAATCGCAGCCTGCAAGCCCGTGGCCACTGCTTTGGATTCTGCTGTCAACGTGTTTCTGTGTGGTTACATCATCGATCCCATGGTAAGTATTTCATCTTTCAGAAGCTAAGGACAGATGATAAACTCATCATCTTTTATCCTTCCCCTCCAAGATTGTACTATGCATTATAATATAAAATAGTATTCTGCTTGGGTGTGTTATGTTTGGGCCCAAAATCAAATATGTAAATGAACGTACTCTGATACCTAATTCACTACACAAGTCAAAGACCTAGCTGCGCATCTTTGCTCTTTACTGGAATTATATTTACAGAAGTTAGAGGACCCTCGTAAAGAAAACTGTTTGTCCAGAATAATTGGGAAGGAATAAATCAATAGTCACTGGTGTGCAGATGGCCAATATTCAAAAGTGCCAGTGCCTACACACACGCGCACACACCTGTAGATACAGCGAACTTAATTTCCTTTGTGATTTAAAAGCCCATTGAGATGTAACTATTGGAATGGTCAGTTCTAATTAACCGAGTTTATTCCTCTGCTCTATTCACTCTGCAGTAGACACTGACAGTCCCCACGTGCCAGTCCTCTCCTGCCTCATTGGCTTTCAGTTGCTATCGAAATGAAGATCAGGATCCTTCCTAGAATGCTCTAGGCCCTGCACGACTGATTCCTGCACACCTCGGCCACATTTGCACCATTTAATCACCTGTCTCACTGTGCACTAGGCATACCTGTTTTGGGGGGTTGTTTTAGGGGGCATTATTTCTTTATATACATCTCGAGCTCCTCAGGGCCTTTGCACATGCCACGTCCTCTGCCTGGACTGGGGACTGGACACATGCTCTTTTTCTCTTGCTCTCATTCCTCCCTACCACACCCACCCCCCCCACCTGGCTCACTCTTCTAGGTCTTGTCATGTAATGGTTGAGGACAGACTCCAAATTCAGTTGTCACCTCTACATTCTCCGAACTCTGTGACTTTGGAAAACTATTAAACCTTCCTGAGCTTTATCACCTCAATGGGGTCGTTTTGATGGTTTAGTGAGAGATTACATGTAAAGCCCTTAACACCATTTCTGGTACACGACCCACTCAAGAACCAGGCACTACTGTTACCTGTCATCTCAGCTCAGGTCTGGGCTCAGACACATCTCGCGTTTCCAGGAGGCCTTTTCTGGTTTTCCCAGCAGACTGGGCTCCCTTTTCTACACTCCCACTGACCTCCCGGCTCTTCCTTCAGAGACGCTGCTGCTGTTGGAAGTGTGCATCTGTGTGGTTCCCTGGTTAAGGAACTGCCCCCAGGACACACAAACTGGCCTCTACACTCCACGACCGCAGGGTCTGTGTGTGCTCTGTTCTGTCACTGTCATCCGTACCTTTCTGGCACAGGCAGTGAGGTGAACGAAGGATAACCAGACAGCTGTCCGTCACAGTGCATCCATATTGCTCTGTTCGTCCATGTTCCCGGCCCATGTCTACATGTCCCTTTGTCTTTGGGATGGACTTCTGTATGTGAATGGAAATGACCCTAACACTCCCAATGTTAGGATCCAGACCCTGATCCTTGGTCTCCTGGCTGCCCCCCTCCTCCTTCAGTTTCCTACCCGGCCTGTCCTGCTGCCTGCAGCCCCTGCTGATGGCCCTGGGTGAAGCCCTCGGGTGGGGTCGGGAGGGTCCTTGGTTAGCCTGGTTGATTCTGAATGGATCTCGCTGCATGCAGTGCCCCCCACCCACCCAGGCCGGTCAGTTGGCCCAACCGCCAGACGCCTGCTCTCAGATAACAGGAGAAGCCCTGGAGGGGAGGGCCGGCTGGCGGCTGCTCGGGAAGAATGCAGGCTGCAGCCATTTGCAGCGGGCGGTTTCAATACAGAGCGAGAGCCCTGGGCATCCACTTCCCCAGGAAAACACTCCCCACAGGGCTGATTCACATATTTCCTCCTGGTTGTTCCCAGAAGGACTGAGGCAGCTTCCAGTAAAAATATGCAGTTATCACAAAACTTTAAAACCTCTCAAAACAGGTCAGAAGCATAGGACTCTACCAATAAAAAAGTGTGGGGGGAGGACAAATTCACTGGAGATGCTGGGCCAACGTGTGCCACTGTCATTCAGAGTGCACACGACCAGGAGGGAAGCAGCAGTGCAGTAGCTGAGCGGGGAGGTCGTGCTTTAATCCACGCCGCCTGCTGCCGCACCGTTGGGTGGCCAAGGCTGCTCTCTGGGTACTTAGAGCACTGGCCGGAGGCCTGGGGCAAAGACTTGAACCTCTCCTGGTACCCGGCGGGCTGCAGGTTTACAAAGCGGGACAAGCGTAGGACTCTGGCTGGTGCACCGTGCCCACGGGGTCAGGCTGGTAGTGCCCGGCGGTGTCTGTTCTGACGGGTGCATAAGTTTAAATAATGCCAGCTGCTACCCCCACAAAAGTCAGTGATGTGGCCATGGCAAGCTGAGGACAGATGCCCCTCTTAAAGGGAGAGCCACCACTCAGCCACCGCGGCTGCGGCCTTGTGGGAAGACGAGCTCGGGGTTACGAGATCCAACTTCAGACTTTTCAAGAAAAGACATAAGTCCAGATTTCTATGTGAAATCTGACTTGAATATATTGGCAACTTAAAAAAAAAAAAACCTTTAACATTGCCTTTTAAACAAAACAGAATTGAATGCACCTGAGAGCTGCCTTAGAGATGGGTAAAACGAAACCTGGGAGGCTTGTCGAGAGCCTGGGGCACCTGAAGCATTGCCATCACTGTTCATGTGCAGAACGAAGTCAGAGGGTTCATTAGTCACCGTGACAGCAGAACATCTCTCCAAAGGGATCCGTTCGGGCCCAGGCCTGCTTGGTTGCCCCTCCCATCGCTGGCGGCAAAGTGGACTGGTCTACAGCTCCTTTGGAGCGTCCTAGAAGCCCACCCTGGCTTCGGACTGCCGCTTCTGTTACTCGTTTATAAAATAAATATAATGGGATCCTTTCAAGGTTTTAAAAAAAAGTTAATGAATTATAATCATTTGTAGTGCTTCACCTGGTGGCTGTCTCATTATCAAGTTCACTAGTGGTTTCAGTGAACAAAATTAGAACTCCTTTAAAAAGTTGCAAAATAGAGTGATTTTCGCCAAGCAGCTGATGTTTCCCATTTCCCATCTTCATGCATGTAACCCTCCCGATTTTCTTTCTCTCCCTAGAATTTGTTTTGGTTTGGCATAGGAAAAGCTACCATATTTTTGCTCCCGGCTCTAATTTTTGCTGTAAAGCTGGCCAAGTACTACCGGCGGATGGATTCGGAGGATGTGTATGATGAGTAAGTACATGCTGGTGTCCCTCCAGAGCCGGGGGTCCTATTCTGTGGTTCTGCCCCCCGAGAACTCGCTAAAGAGGAGCTCAGTGGAAATGACGTGATTTTTTTGTTTAACTCCTGGGTCACCTCTGTTCAGATGCGTTCTTTGTACCAATTTTCTTAGGCTCGCTTGTCTTAACCGTTTTTTTGCCTCTTGCTTGACTTTCTGTTTCCTTAACTGGCCTTCTTGTTTCTTGTTTGCAGTTCCTCGGCCCCGGGGACTTGGCACTTGAATCTGTAGCTGCTTTGGCTAGTCTGTTCTTTGACCCTGTAGTCTGCCCTTCTCTCTGTGCTCGGTGAACTCGTTCGCTTCATTGTTACGTCACCCATCTTCTCCTCCACACGGCTCTCTTCCGACCTGGTTCCTTCAGCATCTCCTGGGAGTACCAAGGTGGGGGGTGAGGCTGTTACGCTGTGATCAGAATTAAAAAATAATTGTCTCTCTCTGTTGTTTTTTCTTCTTTGATATTTTATAGTGTTGAAACTGTACCCATGAAAAAGTAAGTCTTTTCTTTTTTAAACCATGTTCATAGGTTGGGACTGGGATTGGGGGTTGCTTTTTATTATTAGTCAATGGATTTTTTAAACTAAATCAATAGCATCTTAAAATTATATAGCAACGATAGATATGTCCAGATAAAAATAAATGCTGATGCCTCTTAAAAATAAGGATGGCACATGGTGCTGAAAAAATAAATCATTGTTGATTAATAAAATTGTACATGTTAAATGTACTAATATATAAAATGGTTGTTTTGATACTTGATTTTTGGGGGATTTAAAAAATATATATTTATTTATTTTTAGAGAGAGGAGAAGGGAAGGAGAAAGAGCAGGAGAGCAACATCAATGTGTGGTTGCCTCTCATGTGTCCCCTACTGGGGACCTGGCCTGCAACCCAGGCATGTGCCCTGACGGGGGATCGAACCAGCAACCCTTTGGCTCACAGGCCTGTGCTCAATCCCCTGAGCTACACCAGCCGGGGCTGATATTTGATTTTTAAAGGGAGCACTTTGCCTTCTTTGTAGATTTAACAAGTTGTCACATGAGCATTTAAATTGTCTTTGTAATCCATGGTATCAGTATCCATCTCGGAGGTAACATGGTTTTTTGGTATATTTATTTTTGTTACAGTATGCAAAAGGGTAATATTGGTTTTCATAGACATCAAACCACTCAGAACCTATGAACAAAGCTGTTAAACAGATCCAACTGCAGGGGTTCTTGGTCTGCCGCGTCTGCCAATTTTGGAAAAGAAGCCTGCCCCCCGAGGACTTTACGGACACAGGATACCGTAGGGAGCACGCACTCCGGGCCCAGGAGGGAAAGGCGTGCGCCCCTGCCTTCCGCCTCTGGGAGTCTGGCTTTAGTCACCCGCGCCGTCTGTGAAAGTCCGACTGCGGAACACATTCATTCATCTTCAGTTCAGCCCTGGGGACCAGATGTGAATTTTGTCACATTCCCTGGCCTGGGAAGTTAGACTTGTAGTTGGAGGAAGTTCGGCAAATAGAAGGCATGCGAAGGCATGTGAACAATAAAATAATGACTTCAGAAATATGACTCCACCCTTCTCATTGAAAAATAGATCTGAACTATAGTTACCACTTAAGGCACCATATTGTCTCCTCGGGGTGGCTGTAACAAAGGGCACGAACTGAGTGGCTGAAAGCAGCAGAAACATATTCTCCCAGTTACAGAGACTGGAAGTCAGACCGACACTCCGTCAGAGTCAGTGTCTACCCGAGGGCCTGAGGGCCAGTCTGTTCCCTGCCACCCCCGGGTTCTGCCCACCGCGGGCAGTGCATGGGGTTCCCCGGGGGCAGACTTACCACTGCGGTTACTGCCTCTGTCTCCACACTGGTCTCCGAGGAAGGCTCTGTGCCTCGCACTGGCCCCCTCCTGTAATCCTCGCCAGATCGCTGTGAGGCCAGCAGCTCCATTCCAAACTGTAAGCCAAGTGGCCTGAAACTGGCAGAGCCGAGTGACCCACCAGCACACAGCTCTTCAGTGTTCAGGCCAGAGAAGATCCAGGTCCCCCAGCCCTACAGCGCCTGGCTTTCAGCGCATGGGCGCCAGAGGCTAAGGTGGTTCTGACACAGACCATTCCCTAACAGTTCAGACTAAACCACCTCACAGGTGCCCAGTGCTTTCCAGTGGTGAAAAGGGCTGCCAGTCAGCACTGCTCAAAGGGTGGCCCCGGGGCCCGGAGCAACCGGATTATCCGGGAGCTCCAGAAGTGCTAAATCTCAGACTCCAACCCAGACATACTGAGAACGAGGCCCAGGGATGTGTATTCTAACAAGCTTTCCGGATGAGTCCAAAACAGTAAACTTGGCCAAGCAATATTGCAAATCACCCGATGGGATAGGTCTTGATCTGTTCAGAAAATAGCTTTTATCCAAGAAATGTGGTTACGCCCCGTCAGAAACAATAGATTGTTAGCAAAGCAATACATGCCTACCCAGCCTCTGCAGAAGGCCGGGGGGAGGCAGGGCCTGTCCGCAGACAGTGCTCATGGTGGAGTTTTACATGGCTGGCCGCCAGCCCTGAAGCCCGTCATCAGTCTGAAATGTCCGTCTTCCCTCCTGTCGTCCTTTCCCAGGGAGGGGCTCCTGCTCGCCCGCAGGCCTTTCCCAAACTTCTGCTGCCATCCCCTGCGGCCGATCGGTGATTTTTACCACTTCTCTGTTCTCTTCTACATGAGCATTTAGTTCATTGCTCCCTCCCAGCAAGCTCTTAAAAGCTTATGCACACAGTTCATGCTTTAAGTTCCTTTGATCCCCCACCATGCATTAGAGGAAGAATGGATGGATATTAGACTCAGAAGACTTCAGTTCAAATGTGACTCTCCCCGCAGAAGCAACATGGGCTCCCTTAGCCTCATCCCCTCTGTTAAATGGGGCGGGGCTTGCCCCCACCTCATTGGGTGGGTGCGATGATGGACAGCATGCCTGGCACGGAGTAGGCTCAAAGTGGAACCAGTATCACCCACCCGTGGTAGGCTTCCAATAAATAGATTGAGTTTTGCGAGGCACTGAACACCCTGTCATCAGGGCTTCAAGCAGAGGCTAGTCAGCCTACACACACAATGTCCCAAAGAGGAGTCTCCATTCGGTTTTAAAGGAACAGGAGCAGTCGAATAGGAAGCATCGCTGTCTGTCTCTTGAACAAGAATGGCACTGGCAGAATCGGTCAGCTGTAACTGTTAGTGGAACTCTGGTGTCTGCCAAAGTCCTGCAAATCCCAGGGGAAGGCTTCGATGGTCAGTTGTTAACTCGGGTCACTTTCAACTCTAGGCTCTGCAGCCCCTCAGCATCCCCCACCCCGATCCATGTGTTCCCAGGGTAGTTTTGAGGGCCCAGACAGGCAGTAAGGCCGCTGTCCCTCACGTAAGAGAGACCTGCATTCTGATCCGTGATTGCCGCTTCCAATCCCAGAGCTGCAGACACGGAGGTGGGCAGCTGCTGGCGCAGTTGCTCTGAGGACCGGCTGCATTCATGCTCACGTACCTGGCTATGCAGATTGCCTACGATGCTGGTAACATGGTCTATCCAGTAGTTAGACCTGCTGAGAAAGAGGAGGAACATGAAATGTCTGATGAATATCCTGTCTAATTGCCCTTTGCCAGGAACGGTGAGGCATCATATGACTGTAATTGATCCAGATACCCCCAAAATATGGCAAAGCTTGGTCTCAAGTGCTACTTTGCTGTGGCCCAAATCTGCCACACCTGCTTCCCAGGCAAATTTGGAAGATCTTCTGGTCACTTAATATACAGGGCTGGACAAAATACCTGGATGAGGTACACAGTTTCCTGTCCCCAAACAGCCCAACTAAGCCTGGTCATGACCCTTTGGTCGCGTTAACATTTCCTATACTGTCTTAGCGATCAGTCTATGAGCCTCAGGCCCTTGTACCCCCAATATCTGACTTGAATGGCTGACCCCGGATCTGCTCAGGGTTAATGAGCCCCCAACACCCCTGCTTTCATATGAGTCAGAATCTGCCTCCAAGGCACTGCCCCCTGCTGGTCATGGGAGCCCATTAGCAGATACGGGCGGTGCAGTCACCCCTGGGAAGGGGAAAGCATGTGCCATTACTCTGCCATCCACTGGTGGCAAACAGGAGACCTCGGGTGTCCCTGTGGAAGGACAGGGTTTTGGAGAACCAGGAGATCTTCCAGGCAAACTGATCTTTGGCACTTTGTGCCAAAGTGATTGAGAAAAAGGCATTGGCCATGTCCAGGACAGAATACTGCCTGGACAGTAATCAGGCAGTATTAGTGTAATACTAATCAATTCAGCTACAGTCATGAAGTTCAGCAAGAATGGTTCTAGGGGCACTGACGCAATTTTGTTGATGACCATCCACTGTGGAAACACCCATTTTGGACTTTAGTGAAGCAGGCATAACTTTCCAGTGAGTTCAACCCGTAAATTCAGGCTTTATTGGGATAGCAACTGGCAATACACCGCTAACACACTCTGCTACCTCATAGGCTCTAAGACCTCGTCATGACATGTACTCTCTCTGAGCTTCATTTTGGCACTCAGTAAATAATTGTCAAATAGAAGTGATAAATTTAAACTGATAGTGTTGAACCTTATCATCTCTAATACATATTCTGCCTCTCACACATTCAATGACCAAAACATTGTTTGAACGTTGTGCTGACTTGGACACTGGGCCAATCACTGACATTTTCAGCAACATCATCCCATTATGAACAGAAAGGACTTAAGAAATGCCTGAGAGACGTGAAAATTGTGGTTGGGGTCAAAGTGCTTTCAGTAAAGTGGTGAAGAGCAACACGAACATGAGAATCTCTCACTGTGTGTCTAGTTGCAAATAAAGCTGGGTTTCCAAGCTCCGAAATGATTGCCGTTCATAATTAGCATAAGGAAACTCTTTAAAGACCTTTTCCTCCCTGTGAATCTCCAGCGTGTGCTGTCCTGTGGCAGCTGGGAGGGCTGTGGCTGCTCCTTTAATGACATATTTCTATGTTTCCCAAAGTCAGGTGGGAAAAGACATCTGAACCATAAAGAGTGACATGTTTTATGCAAAGACGCATTCCCCAGCCCTCTCCAGGCCTGGACTCACTCACCCTCCACCATGTACCTCCTGTGGATTGTCTCTTCTCTCCCCTCCTCGCCTGCCTTCCTCATTCCCCCTCTGCTCCTGGAAGCTGTGCCAGACCAGCCTGTGAGCTGAAGTCTGACCAGGGTGCAGACGAGAGACAAAGAAAGAAAGGAAGAGAGGGAGAGAAGGGAGGAGGAAAAGAGGGAGAGAGAGAAAGGGAGGAAAGAGGTTATAGTATTTGCTTTCTTGCTATCTTTGCAAACAATTTTTTGCGGGTTTTTTGGGGGGGACACAATGTTGCTCAAACTTGGTCGAAAGGTTATTTTGCCCTATTTTTAACATTCCAAAGGTTTGAGGGAGCTCTCTGGCCTGGCAACTCCCGTTCCATTTCAAGGTGGCTTCCTTACATTGTTTACATGTAAGTTACAAGAAACTTCCAATAAATGCCTGACTTTGTTCCTGTTGTTTTCAGTTTTCTTTCTATTATTATAATGAGAATAATCTTGATCACCTCAAAGTCCAATTCAACCAATAACCATTTGCTACCAAGGATGATATGTGGGGAAAAGAGTGGAGAGGCAGACACAGCTGGAGCCCGAGGACTTGTGTGTAGGGTGTGGTGGGTATTGACCTTGAAGCTGGCTGGGATCGAGAAGGGAGAGTCCTCCTATGTCACTGAGAAGTTTGGACTTCCTCCTGTAAGCCGAGGAAAACCATCCAAATCTTGAAGACATAACAAGATGTCATGTCTACAGCAATCATCAGACAGTGAGCTGTAGGCTGAACCGTTCAGTCTCGAGGGCAGGAGCCAAAGCATGTTCACTCTGCCATTCCCTGCAATGACTAATGTTGCATTTTGCCTAGTAGTTACTGAGTAATGATTGGATAAATAGTGTTCTTTTTCCTCTAGCAATGAGTTGTCTCTTATCTGGTTGCAGGCTCTTGAGAAATTCTCTCTGCTTCTTGTTCAGTTAGGGGACTCCACCTTGAGCCCCTCAGCCTTCCCTCCAACCAAGTACAATAATTACCACTATATTGTCATGATTGACATCCTGGTCTTTCCCCTTGTTGAGGGCAAGGATCATCCCTCCTTGTGTGCATCCCAGCTGATGACAAAGACCCTGGGGCATGCTCATGCCTTCCTGAGCATTCTTTGGATGAACTAAATGGGAGAATGCATGAACTACAGCTCAATGACGGATTGCGTGGCAGGATGAGGAGGTCTGGCTAGAGGCCAGCCCACAGCATGGGACAGTCCCTTCCTCTCTGGGCGTGGGGGCCATATTCACTGGGTTCCCTTCCGGGCCTTTTTTAGAGCTCATTTCTGGCGCCTTTTATCTATACTTCTTCACCTTTTCATTCACGTGACAGAAATAGCAGTTCATTAGCCCACAGGCATGGTGACTCACAACATTAACAAGCAGAAATGACAGCTTGTCTCCCCGATTTTTCAGTTTTCTAGGGTAGCAACTGGCATCTTTGTTAACAAACACAGGTTAGGGACTCAAAATTCCAAATGGAGATGCTTTAGTGCCTCCCTCTGTCCCGAAGGGGAGGTGGCGGAGTGCACGTGTGTGCGTGCTCGTCTCTGATGCCCCTGCACGAGAGCCTGTGTGAGTGCATACGTGTGCACACGTGTGTGGAGGTGCACAGCGATCTATGTGCTCTGAGGACTTTATCCAAAAGGAGCAGACATCTTTAAAGCATGTTTAACCTGTCTTACAATGATTTCCTTGAAAAAAATATGAAAAATCTGGAGTTGTTCAATGAAATTACCTTGTATGGAGTCTGTTATAAAACACCAACAAAAATTTTAAAGAACATACATGCCTTTGAGACAGCTCTATCTCTTGAGAAAAATAACAATTATTATTATGTCAATCTCTTCCAAATTGCTGCTGTTCCACCACACTAACTGCCACAAACAGTAGTTTTATTTGGTTTAATTTAATACAGAAACCGTGAGTTACTTGTTAGATGGATGCAGAATGAGAACGGTGTTGCACATGACTGTGGAAGGAACTCGGTCAGTGTGACGGGGCTTGACATGGGGCATTCTTTTCAGATAAACACACTCTAAAAGATTCTAATTTGTGTTCACACTCAGCGTGGTACCATCAACCCTTCAGCGTGCTAAACTGGAGCTGAATTCTCGTGACAACGAGCACTTTCAGTTTCGAATGCCAGTGCTGTTCAGCAGGTCTGTGAACGCTTTGGCCACCTTAACAGGTTTTAGCTGATGTTCATTTAGACAATTTCCCCATTGCCTGACAATGAATAGGTTTTTAATACACACAATTCTTCCCCCCCAAATTAATGTCACTTTGGTGCATTGACTCAGCATGTCGTCTGTACAGGAGGTTATTTTTAAAGAAGAAAATGACTTTTGAGCAAATCAAACTTGACACATGACAGAAAAATCAGCTTTTGAGCTTGAAATCACCTGCGGTCCCCAGACTGCGTGAGACGTGCATTTGGCCACCAGACTCAGCCTGCGCGTGGTTACCAGTTGTGTTCAGATTTCCTTTGGAAACCTGGAAGGGGAGGCTGCTCTCCATCATTTAAATTTTTGCTGAAGAGAAGATGACATGACCCCAGATAATCACGAGAAAAATACCAGATATATTCCAAATGGGTGACGTTCTCAAAATACCTTTCAAGGTCATCAAAAACCAGGAGCATCTGAGGAACTGTCCCAGCCACAGAGGGCCTAAGGAGTTATGCCTGCTAAGCGTCATGTGGTGAGTCAATGGGATGCTGGGAAGAAAAGCCCATTGGGGTTGAAAACTGATGTTCACACAAAACCCAGCACGGGAATGTTTATAGCACCTTTATCCATAATTACCAAAGCTTGGAAGCAACTGAGATGTCCTTCAGGAGATAAATGGATAAGCAGATGGAGTTACACTGAAATAGTGAAATATTATTCAGTGCAAAAAATAATGAGCTATCACATCATAAAAAGACATGGAGGAAACTTACAATCATATACAGAGCGAAAGAAGTCAATCTGAAAAAGTTAAATTCCATCTGATTCCAACTCTATGACGTTCTGAAAAAAGCAAAACTATGGAGACAGGGAAAAGATCAGTGATTACCAGGGATTGGGAAGAGGGAGGGGTGGATAGGTGGAACCCAGAAGATATTTAGGGCAGTGAAAATACTCTATGATACTGTGATTATAGATACAGGTCAGTGTACATTTGTGAAAACCCACAGATTGTACAACACCAAGAGTGCACTATTAGAAAAAACATGACTCTAGGTAATTGCGATGTATCAAGGACGACTCATCAGCTCTCACAACTGTCCCACTCAGGTGGAGGAGGCAGACAGTGTGAGCAGCTGTGTCAGTGGTCAGTGGGGTGGGGACGTGTATGGGATAAACACACTTTAATAGATTATAATTAGGAACTCTGTCCTTTCTGCTCACTTGTGCTATAAATCAAAAACTACTCTTAAAAATAAAGTCTATTAATTATTTTAAAAAGAACATTAAATGAAAAGTAAGGAGACCTAAACAAAATATAGACTTCAGGAATACTATATCAATAGTGGTGCAATCTTTTTATAAATGTGGCATTATAATGTAAGAGGTTACCCACAGGGGATGCTGGGTAAGATGTCGTGGGTCAGGGGACCAATGACACTGATAGACGATGATATCTGAGCTGGACCCTGACGGATGAGCTGAATGAGCCGGGCAGAGTGGGACTGGAAGGGCATTCCAAGTACGGGGAACAGAAGGAGCAAAGGCAGGAAGTGGGCAGCCGCACTCAGGAAGTGGTGAGTGAGTAGCTTAGTGCAGCCATATTGGAGTCTGTGTGTGTGTGTAAATGAGTTTGGAATGACAGGCTGAGCCAACAGGGAAAGGTCTACATAGCCTGGTATAACATTGTGCCCCCTGGTTTAAAACAGAAAGATCAGGACAGATGTTGTGATGGGATTACAGGAAGGCTGAAGTTCCGCTGGAAGCCAGTGGGACAAAGCTTAGAGAAACACTTCTCAGAAAAGATCCTAGAGGCCACATGTCCCCTTCAAACATGCTTGGTGTTCTGACCTCCAATCTTCCTCCATAAAAAATCTGGCTGCCTCGTGAGGATCAAGATGAACTTCTCGTTATTTCAGAGGCCACCTTGACCTCTGTCTCCCTGTGGAATGAAGCTGCTTGATCTTGCCTACGCCTCAATAATTTTCTGAAGCATCACCCTGTGAGTGCCTATTTGGGGACCATGTGGCTCTGTAAAGTGGTGGTCAGGACAACGGGGGTGGATCTCTCTACGAGCCAGTTGTACACAAGGCCTACAGGCTGGGGAGATGGCCCCCTCGGACCGCATGTATGACAAGACCCTTTGAACTGCTGAGTAAAGCAGTCAACATCCACAATTCTGTGACCTTGGAATATTCTCAAACGGGAGCATCCTGAGTGGAATCCAGCCACAGTTATGACTTCTGGGTGTCTTTATGTGGGCCAGGACAGCATTTTTAGAGCATTTCAATTTAGATGCCAACCCAACTCCACGTACACACTTTTGGATGTTGGGGCATTTCTTAAAAGTTCAAGAAACTCCATTTTTATACCAAAAAAATGCACGAGTACATACAAAACAGAAATGACTTCTGAAAATATTGACCGCCACGCCACATGTTCTCAGCCAATTGGAGCTGAGTCCTGACCGCAGATGCCAGAACCTACCCAGACTGCCACAGTCCCCACCACTTCCTGTTGTGCCCCTGTTATGCCCCACAGCTTTCCACCACTTCCGTATTTTCCTCGTAGCAAAGGCAAGGTTGGTTGCCACTTACTACTATTCACATACTATTGTTTTCTTTACAGTTAAGAAAAGAAATACAATTTCTTGTACCCACGCACAAAAAGAGAGGTGACAGAACATAGTGTGGTCCACATCTTCCCTGTGGACGTGACTCTCCTTCTCTGTGTTTAAGCTGAAAACAAAATATGTCTGTGTTTTAAGGAATACAACTCGAGTCACTATCGTGAACCCAATTTGTCCTCCTTCACTTTACGTTAGTAGCTCAGCCCCATAAATAGTTCAGTACGAAACCCCAAAGAAGGTACGGTTATGGTCAGCAATCTGGAGGTGAAGAAACAGAGCTTCAGAGAATTTACAGGACAGCTGTGACAGGGGTCAGGGAAACGCTGTGTCCAGGACACTGGGCCTGCGTCACTCTGGTATGAGACTGCCCGTCGCAGACTGACCAGGGTGCGGTTCCCGTGTGTGACTGGAGGTGGATACTTCCAGCAGAAATTCCCCTCCACCAGCTGTTCCGAGCCGCGGCCTGATTTCTCTGAGCACACGGATCACACACCTGTTCCTCTTCAGGTTCCTCAGGGAACACAGGGACTCAGCTGAGACAGCTTCCACAGCTCATTCACTCACTCACCAAACACTTACTGAGTGGAAAGTGGGGGAAGGAGTCCCAGGTTTAAACCCTGGGATCCTCAGCCTCCTAGCTCCACGGCCTTGGCCAAACCCTGAATACCCCCATGCTTTAATGTTCCATCTGTACAATGGGATGAGCCACAGCTTTCCCTATCATGGAATAAATGTGATGAGAACGAATGGAGAGCTTTAGGTAAAATGGACCTAGCCCGGTGTTTGGCAGCTGTGGCTGTGATTATTTTTGTTATTGTCTATAACTTTTCCCAGAGGTACTGCTGCTGGGTCCCTCTCTCATCAAGGAGGGTCTTTACAAGGCTGAGCCGTCCCATCAAACTGGCTGCTGGGGGGGAGTAAAAGGGCTTGGAGGAAGAGGTCTAATGCCCTTTGTGCACCCACACCTGCCTCCACCCCCATCCACGCCCCCGTGGGATTACTCCAACAACTTTCTCTGCAGGAACTGGCTTCCTCCCAGGCGGCATGGCTGGGAGGAGTGTGAATACAGCAACACAGGTGTGGGCTTTGTGAAAACCCTGTCTGCCTGGGCTCCTATAAAAAGGGCCTTCCCTGTCTTGCACTACAGATGAGACAGGTGCAAGCCTGCAAGCTCACTCCGGTGTCTGGAATTGCACTCAGAACAAGGTAAGAGCCTGGCTCTCTTAAGAGTGTTAATTGTCTGCCCCACTTCCAGCTTCTCTGAGGACCTTGGGTTCCTGGGGTCTGCATCCCATCGGGGCATGCAGGGGCTGAGCGCTGCGCTGTAAGGAAGGAGTGGGTCTTCATCAGGTACACCTGGCCTCCCGTCCCACCTTCATGCCTATGACTGTCTTTCCCTTTCTCAATCCCAATGTCAGATCAGACGCCCAGGGTGGAAATGAGATCAGGGCCGTTTCCTAGGCCAACCTCTTTGTATACAAAATTCAGTCATTTTCTTTTAAAATGGACCACTGATAATACAAATCATCTTTATCATCATGAATTAAGCCAAACCAAATCCTGAGTTCATGATTGCTTTTTTATTTCTTGCCAATATTTTTAAAAGGCAGAGTAAGGTGAAGGCAAGAAGGGTGGTATAAAGGGCCAGAGAGAGGAGTTCTGGCTCCCTGTCCAGCTTTGTCATCCCTTCACTTGGATCTGGAGCGACTTATTTGCTGGTCGGAGCCTTAACTGCCACATCTGTTACTGGAGAGACTTATTATTAGCTGCCAGGGAGGGCTCTGGTGGGGATTAACAAGGCAGGAATCAGATACTGGTTGAGTGCAGAAATACTATTTCTCTCCTCCTTTCAAGCATGGTACTGTTGCCCACCTGATAAAATCCACATAGGTTAGTGTAGCATTTAAGGTTATCCTCTTTGTTCAATGATGTATTCTCAAATGCATCGATTAAGGGCATTGTATATGCCCAGCACTATGCTACAACAGTCTAAATGCTCTGCTGGAAATTCACCCTTATCCACCCTGGGTCACCTTGCCCAGTCAAATTGGATGATATCCCCTCCTTTGTGCCTTTCCTTGGATTCTTACTTCATCCCAAATGCCTCTCCTTACAAACCTACCCATCTCAGAGGGTGCAAATCTTGTACCTGTTTAACCCTGGGTCAGACATCACTTTTCCTGCCACTTACCTTGTCCTTTCTCATAGCATGGCCATCTGAGTCCATGTAGAATGTGAGATAAAAATCCAGCTCACTGGAGCTGGAGGAGAGTGGGCTTTTTTCTCATTCAACACCTTGATTTTCAGATAAATGAACTGAGACACAGAGGGGGAGGGTGACTTGCCCAAGATCAAGTTAGGGACACAACTGAGGCAGACTCCTGGTCAATACCATTAAGAATCCCCAAAGTGTTGCTTCTAAGTTTTTAAGATGTGAGACTTTCTTATTTACCTTGATAAGTTTAACATCTAATCTAGTGCATGGCATCTAGTAGGTGCTCCATAAATGCTTCTTGAATGAGTGAATAAAGGCAGCAGTGAGTGAGCAAATGCAGGAGAAAAGGAGGGCATGAATGAGGGAGTGAGAGTTAATAAGGGTCAGAGAGTAGGGAAGGAAAGGATGAAGAGCAATAAGATATTGCTGCCCAACACTAGTCAAGCAGAAATATGAACAGACAGGCGTCTTGCCTGGCAACTCCAGGAACCAGAAGGCTTCTTGATCTCACTCCTAAGTGGGCCAGCATGTGTCGGTGTGAAGGGAGGGTCAGCTTGCAGCCCTGCACTGTTAAACTGGTGCCTCGAATTGGCTGACCTGCCTGTTGTCACACAGGTTCCCACCAAACTGAAGACATGAGGGTCCACAGCCTCACCCTGCTCTCCTTGCTCCTTCTGGCTGCTCAGGTGACCTTGGTGGATGGCAAAAAGGAAGTAAAGAATAGACGTGTCAGCAAAGCCACCACTCTGGGCGAGCCCCAGACTGAGCAGAGAAGCCAGCCACCCAAGTACCTGACCAAAGGCAAGTTTGTCACCCAAGACCAGGCTGACTGCACATGGGTGGTGACTGAGAAGGAGAAGGGCGTTGTCCTGAAGGTTGACTGCACCCGACATGATGAGAAGTTTTCCTGTTTCTTTACTGGTGATCCAACCTCGTGCCTGAAGTTGAACAAAAAGAGCTATTGGAAACAAATTGGCCGCAGCCTGCGCTCTCAGAGGGTCATCTGTGGGGACTCCAAGAGCATCCTGAAGACCAAGGTGTGCAGAAAGAATTTTCCAGAATCCAGTCTCAGGCTGGTGAACTCTACTATGATTAGGAAGAAATCCAACCAGGAGTCCATGGAGCCGTCGCTCAGCAAGCAAAGCGCAGTCAACGAGACTTCTCTTGTGGAGACTGGCAAGGTCAAAGAGAACACCCTCTCTGGCCCTGCAGAGTCCCAGACCTTGGGCTCCAGTGATCCCGAGTGTCTGGAGGACGCAGACCTGAAACTGGAGAAGACAGCCATAGAGTACTGTGGGGAGGACTGGAGCTCTTTCTGCAAACTCTTCTTCACCATGGTGCAGGGCAATTCATGCTAATGAGGTCAAAATAGAACAGGGTCCCTTAGGCATCATGTCCAGCCCTTCGGGACGCTGTAAAGCTGCAAGATCCCTGTGAGATGAACATTTGTGCTACAAGCATGTGGGGGGATTGTTTAAGCAGATTTTGTAATTTCTGTTTTGTGTTTTGGGGGTTGATTTATATTCGCTTCCTTGGGTGTGGTTTTCAGCAGTTGTTTGCCTCACTGTGTTCATGGCCCACAGAGCTGTGTGCACCTGAGCAGTGAGGAGCGGTCTTTGGGCTTGAATGAGCTAGAGGGATGATTTCAGCGCAATGCACTTTCTGCTGAATTAACAAAGATAATAAAGTTCTGTGCATTTTTCAAAAATACATTCAACCACTGTTTGGTTTTTCTGTATGTAATTCCAATGGACTTACAAGCGGGACCCTCTATATCTGCAAAAAAAAAAAAACAAAAAACAAATGTAAGGAATAACTTCCTGTTCCCAACCCATCCCAAGTCATCCCATAAGGCGACAGACTCCAAACCCCTCTCTTTATCTTTTCGTCCCCTTGGTCTGTGGCGTTTGATACTCACTGTACTGATTTCAAGTGGGGCACCTGTGCCATGAGGTGAGACACCTGTCAGGGTCTCACAGATTGTAGGAGGGGAGGCAGGATTTGAACCTTGGAGGTTTCTGAGCCAAGTCCCCAGGCTGGATAAACACCCTCCACTGGCTGAAGTCAGAGCTGCCCATAACAAGACACCATAGGCAGGACCCCTGACCTAGAGGAGCTCACTTCTGGCCTTGGGGAAAGAGGTCTGGGTAAGAGCAGCACCTTCTGATAAAGACTCTGATGGAAAGGATGGGGATGCAGTAGCACAATAAACCAAAGAGAGAAGGGAAGAAACTGCTGGAGGATCTCAGGTTGAGCTTCAAGAAAGAGGTGACACTGGAGCTGAAACCTAGAGAGAGTATCTTTAGGTAGGAAACAGGGCAGAACAGGGGCACACTAGGTGGATAACAGCATGTAGAAAAGCAAAGATGGTAGAAAATCATAGAAGAGAGAAGAGGCCACATGGCTGGAATGTGGTGAGACACAGGGATGGCACCGGGGTTAGTCATTTACACATTAGTGTGAAGGACCTGAAAATGTTTTAATGCCATAGCTCGGGAGAAAGAACGAACTGTCCCCATTGCCTTGTCATAATTCCACAAAGAACAGAAAGTGAGGAGCCAGAGTTGGTGAAAGCACACTGTGCTTTGGAGCCTCTTCGGTGTAGGTGGCAGGGAGGAATGGCCAGTGGAGTGGAAGAGTGGCATTTGACACTTGCTGTCCTACCAGGACCTACACTGAGCATTGTCGGTGGCCAGGCTGGAGTGTGACAGCTTCAGAGTACATCCGAATGTCATTATCATCATCATCATCTTCTTCGTCATCATCATCAACACAACATTTATCTCTCACTTCCTATGTCCAGGCACTGGGCTACTTTTCCCACGGAGGACACATGTGCTTATTCATTCACTCCGTCATTTAACACGTACTTTATTGAGCACAGACTCTGTCAGACTCTTCTGGGAGCTGGGCACACAGCAGTCCACAGGAGATGGCTGTTCTGTCCCCATGGAGCTACCAGTGGAAAACTAGTGATAAACTCACAAATACACAAGTGTCAAAGAGGAAAAGTAAAGGAGAAGAAGGAGTGGCTAGAAGTGACAGAAGATGACCAGTTTTAGATGAGGCGGTAAAGGGAGGCCCCTCTATGGAGGTCACTTCTGAGTCCAGACCTAAACGAAGTGAGGAATCGAGCCAGGTGACTCTCTTAGGTAAGGATGCTCTAAACAGAGGGACAACCAGTACACATCCCCTGACATTAATTCATAAGCTATGAGCTCCTATTATGTGCCAGGCATCGTTCTAGAGAAAGGAAATAACAGCAAACAAAAAAAATTTATTCTTTGTGGCATTCGTATTTTAATAGCTGGGGCATGTTTGACATGTTCAGAAATACCAAAGATGGCGGAGTCACTGTAAGAGAGACCTGACCTGTAAACTTTATTCCTGTTCCCAAGAGAACAGACCTAACAGCCCTGACCCTCCCCTTGGTCCTCCGGCCACACCACAGGAGCATTTTCTCTTATCGTCTGCACAGGTTGTCAGTGTACTGGGCAAGGGATTGGGCCTCGCAGCCTGCTCCCCTCCTCTGTCACATGAAGTAGTAATGGGGACAGCAGTTTCTACTGTGTACCTGTCACAGGTCAGTACCAGCGTTCCTCTGTGGGACTGTCACCCCAGGGGAGGGTTGACAAAGTGCCATCATCACTTCACTCATGAAAAAGAAAGAGCATGAAAAATCAGGCATCTCTTTCTAAACATTCCACCCAGTGACATACTCATGTTCATTTTTTTCCTTTTCTTTTTTTTTTTCCAAATGCAAATCCACTCTCCACACCCAAGCTTCAGGGGGCAGGAAAAGGCCCTCTCACTGCGCATATCTAGGGGGGAGAAAACTGGGAAGAGTGATGCTACCATCGGTGACTAGGGACTGCATCTCTGTAAGTGTTCCACAAGAGTTTTTCCCGCCTGAGTTCTTTTCATCCTTAGGACTCCCTGTGACTCTGAACCTCAGAACAAGGAATGTGGACAGGATTCTAGGCAATGCAGGGCCCTTTAAGGTTTCCAAGGAGGGAAGAATAGAAGTGTTAATGTTTGATAGGTAAATGCAAGCTATAATCAAAGTGGTGCTGGGGATCAATGATGATGGCAATCGAATGCAGGGTGCATTTGCAGTGGGAGAACCTGGAAACATGGGGAGCCATGGAAGAGATACTGGAATGATCGGGACTTAGAGTGGTGGTGAAGGACAGACTGGGCAAATCTAAGGAGCCACTTTTATGCAATAAACACTAACTGCATACTCACCCCGTGCCAAGCACTGTGCAAGGCACTAGGGGCACCAAGATAAATAAGAACCACCTGACAGTGGAGGCTCTTTCAGTCCTCATGGGTTAGACAGATGTGAAAACAATTCCTCATTGGAAACAAAGAGAATTAACAAACCTTGAGCTTGCATGTAGCCACTGGACTTGCTTTGGCCAAAGAAGTAGCAATGAGCATGTCCTTGGACAGCCTCTGTTCTCACCGCTGTGCCCACCTCAAAGACTCAATACTTAGCTGTATCTGCAAAAAAACAAACCTGCAACTCCCATCAATGAGGGCCTACATTGTACTGAAGATGTCCAGGAGCATCGTGGCATGGCGCACCACACAGCCCAATGGATTACCCATGCACACTCAATGAGGACCCTCCTCCCTCTGCCTGTGCTCGGCCCGCAGTGGGGCTCACCGCTTTGTTCCCCGACTTTGACGCTTCCTCTGCTCCCCAACCCTATATTTTCTGAAGCTCTCCCTTTTCTTTCTGCAAAGCAATGTAGTTCTCCCTCCCAGCCTCTCAGAGGTTTCAGTCCGGCACATATCACAGTTCTAGGCAGGCGGTCAACCCCGTCTTAGGAATCACCCCTTTTCAGAGAGGAAGCAGGCAGTGAATGTAACCATCAGTTTTTTCCATCTCAGTCCATTGTCTTTCCTGATACCTCACAGAATGGTCACTGTGGCTTCAGCCAACCCACTACCTACCCTTCTTTCTACCCTTTTGTTCTCTTGAAGGCTTTCAAGGGAACAAAGCGAGTCATCCACTTCATGCCTGGCCTCCTCTTACTCCCGGTCGGACACCCTCCCCACTTCCTGCTGGCTCTGCTCTGTCGTTTAGAGACACGTTTGTCTGTCTTGCACCTGGGCCAGGTCACCCTCCCCAAGATCCATGGCATCTCTTGTGAACTTGCCGGCCTCGGAGATTGGTAACTCTCTCGCTGCTTCCAGGAGTCCAAGGGGCTTGGGGATGGACAAGAGGCTCCTGCAGGGGCTCCGACCGCCTTCCTCCTCCCAGATGGTCTGCAGAAATCAGCTCATGGTGCCAGGACTGTGCAGATAGAATTCACATCCCCAATAAAAATGAAGTGGTGACTATACTCTTTCTAGCAATGGCAAAGCCACCATTAAATACTGTTGGTGTTTTTAAATATAGAAATGAACAAAGCAATGCCGAGTGAGTGATATACCACACTAATGAAGAGGGTCCATTGGCCAAGTGAGGTTGGGATGCTTTTCTATCACTCGTCCCAGATGCAGAGCAGTTGGCTGGACCCTGCCTCACCCCTGGCAACCCCTGGGGAAGGGGAAGGTCTGCATGTCCAATGCCCGGAACAGGACTCCTGTCCTCACCTCAGTCAGGCTGCTTCAAGGTTCCCAGAATCTAGACAGAGGCCTGTGACAAAGCCCCCTGGTCAGAAAGAGGTGTGTGTGAGCAAGGCTTTGTCTGCGTCACCTGCTGGGGCCCGAGCTCAGCTCAGAGTGGAGCCGGGTCAGGGGCAGCGAGGGATGGGGGGGGGGGAGAGGGTGTGCCCAGAGCAAGACCGTTGATGGCATTGTTGACAACTCATCTTCTCAGGAAACAAATGAAGTTATCAAACCCCGAAGCAAATCCATTGAGCTCAGTGCTTGGTGTGGCCTTCTTCAGGAAAGCAAACAAACCAACATCACAATGAAGGAAGGAGAGGACACACCACCTACAGGTGTTTGTACACAAGGCCTTCCAGTTCCAGAGACCGAGCTGGTGGAGCGCAGCGTTTCAGTTAGAGAATGAGCTGTGACCCCACCCCTGCTGCTCCGCACCGAACAGGAAGCAGGACAGTGGGGACTCTCAACCAGCTCGGGCATGAGGACTTGGGACATCTGGTACCTTCCAAGTGGTCACCTGCTGGAGGTCACAGAGCTTGCGGAGCCACTGTTCTGACAGAGCCAAGGCCATTGCCCCAGGGTACCAGTCATGGTTTTTAATATATATATATATTTAAGTTCTTCCTTCTTTTTTCTCCTTTGCTCGGTCCCTCCACCCTCTATATTTCCTGATGCTTTGTCATCTCGGGCCTGGCTGACCCCGAGTCAGCACTCCCAGGGATAGCCAACGTCTAGGGACAATAGAAGACCCACCTGCAAGTGCCGCTTTCACGTGCAAACCCCACCCGCACGCCTCCCTCACTGGGCTCTCACGGGACTCTTACACTCAAGGCTAAGATTCCCACACCCTGGTCACGCCAGGGCAGGCGCCACATAACCGGCATCGTCCCGACACCTCGGAGCCTGCTGATGCTGTTCAGACTGGCCGGGTCGGAGCCTCTTAGCCTGCCTCACCTATTGCCTCCTGCAGGAACCACAATGCAGGCTCCTGCTCCTCTCTCTGCCCCCTGACCGACCTG